ATACCCAGAGAAGTAGCGTAAATGATGACCTCGTTCTTCATGTCAAACTTGTTGACAGCGAACACGACGATGGCGAGGATGATGGCACAGCCAAAGAGAACGTAGGCGAGGGCAGAAAGCTTTCGCTGCAGAGGAGTTCCCTCAGTAAGACCCAGGAACTTGCCAATGACATCGTAGATACGCTTGGAAGCACCAACGAAAGGCTGCTTCTTTCCATACTTCTTGTAGTTCATGGAGCGGCCAGCCTTGCGTGTCTTCTTGGATGTAGATGCGGCAATCTTGCCGACCTCAGTGGACATACCAGTGGAAGTGACAATACCACGACCACGACCCTTTCGGACAACGGTGGTGGCATAGGCCATGTTGACACGGTCACCAATACCGATCTCAGATTCATCCTGGACCAGCTTCTCAGTGCCAGGAGCAGTAATATTGTTATCGGTGATTTTTTCGACGGGAATGGATTCGCCAGTAAGTTGACCTTCCTCGCAGGCAAGGTTCATGGCTTCGAAGAGACGGAGATCGGCAGGAACAGTGTCGCCCATCTTCAGAAGAACGATGTCTCCGGGAACGACTTCGGGGCTATTGAATTGGTTAGATTTGAGGCGTAGAATGTTTGCTGTTGGTAGTACTTACTTGGAAATGACTTGGGTCTTTCCGTCACGGAGAACCATGGCACTGGGAGAGGAGAGAGCCCTGAGAGCATCCATGCGCTTCTCAGCGCGGTACTCTTGCCAGAAACCAATTGTAACGTTAAGAACGATAACAAAGACAAGCACACCACCTTCGATGTAGTCCTTGATACCGAAACTGAGGGCCATAGCAAATGCGAGAACCTGTTGCGAATTAGTATGGCCAATTGCACGGATGAGATGAAAGAACTTACAATGATCATGGCATTGAGCAATTGCTTGGTCAAGATACTATACCAAGGTATAGTGCCTCCGACGTCTAGCTCATTCTTTGGGTATTTTTCCTGGGCTTCAGCTACTTGTTGGCTTGTAAGACCCTTGTCGATGCTGGTACCAAGTGCTTCCGCCGTCTCCTCGACAGTGAGGAGGAACGGGTGCTTGGGGTACTCTGCCGCCATGGTCGATCAATTGAGGAGGATGATAACCTGGAAAGGAGAGAAGTTGAAGGGGAATAAAGCTGTAACCTTTGGTTTGTGTTCCTTATGCTTGGTATGAATGTGTAGGGGTCGATCTATGAGTGGTGTTGTTAATGGTGGGATGCTTTAGTTATCGAGGTACACAAGAGAATCCACAAACTACTTGAGTGTCATGGATAATCTAGTATATTGAAGTACCTATTAAACAAAAGGATTGAGTTAATGGGAGGTGATGTAGGTGGAAAGCGTATCGGTAGTCGAGATGCTTTCAACAGCTTGTTGTTGATAACTCTAAACTTGATGAACAAACAAACATCTTTGTGGGGTGCGGGGGAGAGGGAGGTCATATATACTTTTGAAATCTTGAAATTGGACCGACCGTCATAAGTCGTATTGACCAAGTTGTTTGCCCATTCTCAAGCTCTCTGGCTCGGAGCGGAACTGAATCGTTGCCATGCTCGGGGTTTCTTGGCGTTGGTAAGTTAGTGTATGTACGGTTGAGATACGCCACAATTTAGTTAGAGTTGGTGTTTCTCCACCTGCACACTCCCTGGAAATGCGGCCCTACCAATCCCTGTAGATAACCACCTGGAAAGATGTTGAGCCTCTGAATTACAGCAGGCATCCAGCTAGCCAGGTGATTATTGCATGGAACTGACGACCTGGGCACTGTATTTTTCGGTTGTCTCCGACCTAGGCTAAGCAAACTTAGTAAATGGAGTCAGTCACCTCTTAAACAACTGCCGTTCTTACATGAAGCAAGCCTCATAGCAATAGTATAAAACAACTATCAAGAATCTTCGCCTAATATTTTCTGAAGCAGTCGGTGCGTTTCTTCTAGATTCTACCCATGATCAGGATCCTGGTCATTTTACCAATAAAAACTTCGAAGCGAACAGAAAGGTACCTCGTAACTACGATGGATGGTGGTTAAAAACACAATCGTGAGACTGCCTGGTGGTGCGCACAGTGGATATCTTGGTGTCTTGGCAGCTTGGCGTTCTGCGCAAGCGCAAACATGCAACCAGAGAGAATATTTGCACCGAGATTGTGAGGTCATTGGGTGTGTGACGGATTATTACATGGTAGCGGCGGTCATGGATGTTTTTTTCTTCTTGCTATGCACGAGGACATTGCATCGGCATTGCCCTTGTCGTCTTTTGTATTTGCCGTTGGAGCAGCCATCCATCATCCCGTTGACAAGTATCATCATGAGTAGGGGAATAACCGTTGAACATGCCAATGTGTGCAAATGTTAAATGTAAACAACAGATCATAGTGATTGATTCGGCATTCCACCACCGTCCAAGAAAAAAGGGACCTGCCAAGTACTCTTCGGCACGGTACTGCACTCGCCGAAAGAGAAGAAAAAAAGTCAACTGTTCAAGCCTTTCAAGGTTCAGCTTGATTCATCACATCTTGGCGTGATAACTTCAAAGAGAAACAGGTCGTCTTGGCGGCTCTTGGCGCTTGAGCAATGACGCGTATCCAATCGATTCTCGGAGGTTTAAGGAAAAGATACGCCGAGGTTACTTCTCTTCCATGTTTCCATGTTCCCACCAGTTTGTTTATGTTCTGATAGTTTCTATGCTGGGTATCTCTGCATCTTGCAGCGTGGGATTCTTGCATCTGATGCTATGGTATTGAAAGGGAGGGAGACAACTCTTTTCTGGAACAAGTTTAGGTCGCACATTCTTCAAGTCTTAATGATTGGTTTATTGGCATGTCTGCAGGGGATCGCCACTCTTGGCCCACAGTGACCCCAATAACCTTGCGCTTATGCTGCTTAAAGTTCTGGGCACTGGCTACGCTTGCAAAAGAAGCTTATCGGCTACTCAAAATCAACATACCACCTGATCCACCCTGCTGTGGTACCATTGTCCAATAGTGTGAGCAAGTGTGATCTTGGCAAGACTGTGTGTTTAACGACAGGTTCCTTTCTCTTGTTGTCTCTTTGCCCACTTCCCATAAACACCATGTAATGCAGCATCCCGAATATGGATTTATCCTCAAGACTGGGATAAAATCCTCACGTGATTATCTCAATCACAACATATCAAACCGTACAGCCTTTCGGCCACTCCGAATCTCTCCGAATACGCCTCAGCCTGCGCCTTCCGCGATACCTCCGCTCCCTTGATGCCAAGACAAATATCGTACGAGTCACGTGCTCCGCTGCGGGGACCCACCCTCCGCTCCGTCCGTTGAGGCTTGGCACAGCCGGCTTCAAACCTCCGCCGATGTATTTTGTTTGTCTCCGAATGCTGGGTAGAAGCATCTCCGAAACCTAGTCTCCGGTTGTTCAACTTCTCGGTGAGGGTAAGCAAAAAAATACTTTGTCAAGCGTCCAACGATATGTTTGATCCCATGCGGCAGTGTTGACCGAGATTACCCAACATGCAAGCGGCCAGAAGCCGAGATACTTAGTCTACCAATAAATGTTGAGATTAATGGCGTATCCAAGCACAAAATGCAAGAAAAAGCAAAGCCGAATTAACGAATCTCCGACCCGCTGAGTAAGGAGGTACTTCATCAAAGTGGCTTGCGTTGTGTATCGCGAATAATTACCCCAGACCCCACGTTTTCCCCGGCCAACACTCGTTGTGAGACATTGAACACTGTATAGTATCTATAGACAGAAAAGACTAAGAAAACGGTCGCTGATCGGTGCAGGGAATAGCAAATGAGACAAGACCACTCTGTATACACCCGCTACAATGGGTTGTTCAGCATTGAAAATTTATCGGCGGCTACAGCGACAGACCAACTCATCTGATGTACATCTTAACCTCAAGTATATAAAAATCAGATTCAGGTGATATTGAAAGTAGATCAGATATGGAAATAATCGTCCGGCTAGTATTGCCTGCCAAGTTCCATACCCGTTGAGATTACCTTTACTTGGCCTGCAGGCTGCAAACAAGGTTGAGGGGGCTTTGACGCGCAATGACAGAAACACCCTATAGAGTGTGACAATCACTGCCCCCTACAGGAATATCACATGAGCTTTTGCAGAAATCCATTAAGCATGGACAAATTCGACCTGGAAATCTCAACGGCCTCGGGAGTCAGTAATTCAAACCTAGGAATGAATTAGCCACACCGTTACTCTGTACTTTACTCTATCTTCAATAACCGATACCCCATCAATATGAATTGGGCATCAATCGTGTTCGGTTGTTTCACCGTCTTAACATTGTCTTTCGTGGTATTCGCTAATTCATCACACATACTAGCTCCATGCTTCTCTACCATTCCAGCAATAATAAACATATTCAACACAAAACTACTTAGTCATAGCTACTTGGGATCATAATTTTACCAGAGCTAGTCCACCGCTAATTTCCTTTCTCATACCAAATACCAACACAATTGCCTGCAACCAAGGTTATGTGGACCTCTCTTGAACCTCACCCTAGCAAGCCAAGAGCCCAGCCTCGACTAACCATTATTATCCATATCCCACTAAGTAAATAGACCAAAAAAGAAACTCTCTTGGCGACAACGTGCTTTCCGACTTGGCTACATCTGCCAGCCCGCCTTGGTAGCTTACCCCAGATCAACATCGCACAAGCTCTGCCAAGTTCGCCCAGCCACTATCTCTTACATGCAGTGCATGTTATTCATGATCTGGCGTCTGGGCAATATGGATCTCACAGTTGATATCATGAATTTTCGGTTAAAGTGTATGAAAGGGAAGTAAGAACAACTCAAAACTCCAAATGCCAAGCCTCATCAAAACAACAACCACCCTACCACGGGTAGCATTGCACAGAAAGCATATCGGAACTATATATGAAACCCCACAGTTTGTAGTTTAAAATCTTATTTCGGATCCTTGCTCGGACATAGATATCCTGAGTTCCTAGACGTGGATGCTTCGGACGACATCTTACATGAAGACTTTTCTCCCACTCCCACAACTATGTACTTTCTCAGCTCCCCAAGCAACATTGGCCCATCTAGCCATGTTTCTGGTTATCCCAAGCTTGCTTAATGGGTTCATACTCGAGATATCGTGCTTGGGTACATCTTCGACACTCAAGGCAAGACTAGCAGCTGCATATGCGGCAGCCTTTGCATTGATAAGAAATGCTTCCTTGTTGATATTCTTGATATCGTCACAAGCAGTATGATAGCAGACATCTTGCGGCGGACCGGCACCAGTAAAGATACCAGATGAGGGAATTCCCAATTCGAGAAAGCCTATATAATCAGATGAACTCCCGAAAGGTCTATCATGCTGCGTTAGCAAAGATGTAGAATGGCATTGGATCAAATTCAAACTTACGCGTATTCAGCTGGATATCTATGCTCAGTCAAGTACTCGTATAGATACTTAGCACCAGCTTTGTGGGCGTCTGAGTCGGAATATACAATGTAGTAGGGTTGCGGAGAGGCGATCATATCGTAGTTGTAGTAGAATCGAATCTTGCTCGCCTCCTCCTTAGATAAACTCGACACGTAATATGTCGAACCGATCATTCCGCTCTCCTCTGCTCCCCAAAAGGCCACTCTGAGTTTGTTCTTGAAAGTTTTATGCTTGATTGCCTCGGCGATGCTGAGCAAGGCAGCTACACCACTTCCGTTGTCGTTGATACCAGGGCCCTCTTGAACAGAGTCAAGATGAGCACCCAGAATAACAATGTTATCAGGATCGCCTTCCTTGGTGTCTGCGATGATCTGCCACGTCTCGCGCTTTTCGTTCAAGACATCAATGGTCAAGTTGATTTCCAAAGTTTCGCCACCCTTGAGTCGTTCTGCCCAGGCGTTGCCTTGATCATATGTGATAACACCAACAGGCGCAAGTTTACCAATATTTTCAGCGCCGAGGGAGCCGGAGCCTGCGGTTTGAGCAGGATTGTCATTGAAAACAATGGCCGCTGAAGCGCCGTTTTCCTTTGCGAGTTTGAGTTTGTTTATGAAATGGCATTTACCGCGCTTGATCAAAGCGATCTTTCCTTTAACATCAATTCCATTCCATTGGTCTTCGAAACAGCCCGAACCACGTTCGTCGTCGATGGGGATCAAAACCAGCGGAGCAGTTACGCCCCCGGGCAGCGGAGTAGCATGATTATATTGTAGGGATACCGCATCGACGTTCTCTCCTTCAGGGCCTGTCACAGCAATCTTGTGAGTCTGGGAAAAGAGATGGGTGAATGGCTGAACAGAGATATCGAACTGGTCTCCTTGGCTCAAGCGTTCATGAACAAAATCAAGAGAGGCTTTGTAGCCAGAAAGTCCAAAAGCTCGGCTATTGTTGTTGTCGAGAGCAATGTTATATAACTTCTGAAGAAAATTATCAAGGCTAGATCAAGTCAGCTTTCTATCCGTAGCTCGGGATGTCGGGAGATTCTTACTCTTTCTTTTTGATACTATCTGCAGCTTGCTGGGGGGAGAGACGCTTGTATGCATAGGCCCCATTAGCCCATAGTGCTAGAGATAGGACAATGCAGGCAAGTTTCATGTTTGTCAAACTATCTCATGTGTTTGTGATTGATTTGGGGGAAGAAAATGGTAGTTGCTGCTCTTATATAGATTATTGAAAGAGTCCTCCTCAGCCTAATCCCTTGGAAATAGCCGTCGCGTTAGCTCTCACTGTGGGCTAGCTACACAATCCTTCAAATCGATGCGTTTGCTAAGCCACATATATGTGCTTTCTGTACATCATTCAAATACACGGACATCTCAATGCTGGACGGCTCTGTCGGATAAATATACGTGATCCTTTCTGATGTTACGGCTAAGGGGCAATTGGAAGGCGCAGTCACACTATAGAACCGAACTGACCATTGAGGGATCCCCGAAACATAACGATTCTGGAGCTAAATGGTTAATTTGGCACCATGGATCGGATTGTCGTAATTGCAACCTCCGCTATCAGGCCCAAGCTGAGAGTCCGAGATAGGATCCGAGCTACCCTATCAAGTCGCACGACAACGTAAAAAGGCAAATGAACACCAAGTAGAAGCTCTATATGACTGGCAGGTAGTCCCAATATTTATCCCATCAAGAAAATCCAAGTCGAAAGTATATGGCGACTTGGGCTTTGAAACAAATCAAACTCAATCCCTCACTCCTTGGATAAGATTCTTGATTCCTTCTCCTCTCATGGTCCTTTCCCACGCCTCAGGTGCCTTCTCAAATGGAACAACATTGCTTATAAAGAACGAAACTGATACCTTGTGTGATTCAAGAAGGCCCAGGGCAATTTCAAAATCACCGGGACCGTATCGGAAACAAGTCTTCATGGTAATCTCCTTCTCGCACATGGCGTGAATGGGTAGAGACTGTATGGGCTTGCCCAGTCCAATTTGCATGAACGTTCCACCTGGTGCTAGGCATAAGATGCCTGTATGTGCTGATATTTCAACCCCGGTACATTCCAGCACTATGTCGGCGCCTAGATCAAAACCTGCCTCTTGCTTCAGTCTGGCAGCTTCTTCTTCAGGAGTTGCATCTAGCTGGGGCTGGAACGTGTGGCAATCCATAACTCCCTTCGCAAATGAAAGTTTATCAGGGTTAATGTCTGTAATAACAACATTCTTGGCTCCATACGCACTCGCGGTTGCTGCAGTAAGACATCCAACAGTTCCGGCTCCTTGCACGATGACGTTCTGACCAGGTCGTATATCAGCAAGACGGACGCCATGAACAGCAACACCTAGGGGCTCGACTAGAACAGCTTCTTCGAGGCTGATGGAGTCGGGGATTTTGTAAGCAAAATCCTCAGGGATCTTAAAAAAGCGAGAAAGTGTCCCATGAGTGAACGGAGGGTCTGCAGCGAACTTCATCTTGCGGCACAGATTGTATCGTCCGGATTTGCAGTAGCTACAGCTCTTGCATGAGAACCCTGGCTCTATAGCCACGCGATCTCCCGGCTTGAGTTGGGAAACTGCTGGGCCGACTTTGTGGATTATGCCCGAGGCTTCGTGGCCCATCACAAGGGGTTGTTGTTGGCTGACTTTTCTTGCAAAACCACCTTCAGTCCAGAAATGGACCTGAACATGTCAGTGATACCAACAGAAAGGCCGAATGGCAATGCTCACATCGCTACCACAGACACCTGTGTATGCAATCTTGACGATGACATCGTGCGGGTCCTCGATCTCAGGAAATGGTCCATCTTGAAACCTGGCATCTCCAGGACCGTATAAGAAACAAGATGGGTTCTGTTGGGGAGTCAGAATTGCAGATGTCATGTTTGATGCCACTTACTGTTTCAGCCATTCTGCTAATTCGGGTTGCAGCCTGATGTGTGGTGTTGGAGTTGAAGAGACGATGAACCCGGAAAGGTACCTTACGTTTTCTAGTACTGGGGTTTCTTATCTAAATACAAATTGTACTTGAACACGTCAGGGTACCTCCGCAACTTCAATCAGGTGACTATTTATCGGGATACTGTTTTCCGAGTGAGGGGAAATCATGAACCAAGGACAGCACTTTTATACCTAAGCTGAGAGACATTTGATACTCTCTTGGAACTACATCATTTTCCATAACACGAATTGACACTCAGACTCTTACTTGGGTATCTTGAATACGCAAAAACAATTAATGATGTTCCATATGTGAGGAATGAAATTCATTCTCTATGCTGTATAGTTTCACTTATGTAGAGTATTATCTGTAAACTGTACTTGATATTTAAGGCAGCACATAACCTCCATCGATAAGCAAATCACTGCCTGTCATATAAGTCGAGGCGTCGCTAGCAAGGTACAGATAGAGACCCTTGATCTCTTTGACATGACCCTGTCGTCCCAGCACAGCCATTCGGTATGCCTCGTTGAGGGCCTCGGGGCTCGCGCCCATCTTTGTATCGAAGAAGCCAGGAGATACAATGTTCACACGTGCAAACTCGCGCCACTCTCGGGCAAGCGACTTTCCGAAGTGGGTGATAAAGGCTTTGCTGCCGTTGTAAACCGGCTGATCGGTTGGCACGTTGACGATATGGGCGCTCATGCTGGATGTGATGATGAAGTTGCCGAAACCTTGGCGCTTAAAGATCTCGCCAGCGTATTTTGCAGAGTAGACAACGCCGTCAACTGTGCGGTGGTCAGACATGGTAGACAAGTTGGACGAAATGCATACCATTAACAGACATTTGCTTCTTGTATTCTTCAATAGTCTGCTCAAGAATTGGCTTTGAAATGGCCATGCCTTGGTAGTATTATCAGCTTTGCTTCTCGTAAAATAATGGCATACGTCAAACCATACCTGCGTTTGCGACATAGACATCGATCTTGCCATAGTCATCAAGAACCTTTTTCAGGGCGTCTTGAATTTGTTGGGCATCGGATACTAACACAAATAAGGTAAGCTACTGCAAAGACTTTTGTTCCTTCAAGTAGCCCTACCGTCTACCTTGTAAGCCGAAGCCTTGATTCCGTGCGTCTCTGACAACGAACGAGCCTTGTCGATAGCAGCGTCATTTCTATGACGGTATTAGTTGATGGTGTATTTGGAAAGGATAGAAGGACTTACGAGTTATACCACAAGGCAACATTGCCTCCGGACTCAGCATAGCCTTCAGCTACAGCGTATCCGAGACCATCAGCGGCACCATTGACAACACAGACCTTTCCGTTTAGGCGGAATTGCTCCGTCACGTTGGAGGGAATGTTGGGAAATGGTCTGGGGAAACCATCTCGTACTTTGGTGGTCTCTTCCACTGACATAGACATGATGGATGATATGATATGATATGGGTGTTGTATGGTGATATTTACCTTGTTATGGTGGTGAGAAGAGGGGTAGCAGAAATGTACTGTATCATAAGTTAGAGAGAGGTACTCATGATGTATGTGCTTGAACCCCGCATAGACTCGGGGTATTGTCATCCGATCCAGTTGGTCTTTATCCATTAAACAGCTTATTTCCTAATTCGAACTCTCAAGCGAGGTGTTACGTAGTAAAAAACGGTTATGGGGCCGTTATACTTAAAGAAAAGAAAAGGTCTAAACTTAACAGCAATACCTATCTAGGTACTATCCTGTAGTCATTGCAAGTCATGCATTTGCATCCAGATAGTTATTCGCAATCAATAATCGACTCTGCAAGGATAGAAAGGTACCTACTGTGTTACTATCTATATGCTTACCTGTGGGGCAACCTGTCAGTTAGCCTACCTATGAATAAACAGATCTGTTCAGCTGGAACATGAGACAAACAGCCATTTTTTCACACCGATTTTCCAACGCCGCGACTATTCAGTTCTCAATTATTACAATTGGGATCGTGGATTCTAGTCAAAATGTGGCTTCTTGACTTTCAACATGATGGCTTCTCTTTCATGTCGCGTTTCCTCAGTCTCTTTGGGGTAGTCTTGGTCGCGTTGCTCATCAATGCCCTTCGCAAGGGGTATCAGGTCCGTATGAAGTTCAAGGCTCTTGAAGCTCAAGGAATTGTGAGTTTCCCTGTTATCCTCCTACCCTTCTAGCGTCTAATCGGCTTCAAAGCCAATTATGAAACATTCCATGATCTTTGGTCATCTCGAGTCTGTCGGAAAGCTCGTTTCGTCTCTCCCGTCGGATGCCCATGGCGACTATTTGATGATGATGATCCGAGAGAATTGGCGAGAATTCTTCCCACAGTGCACAAAATGCCCACCTGTTGCCTACATCGATACATGGCCCTTCACCGTACCCATGGTGATATCTCTCAATCTTGATGTGTCATCCCAGTTTACAACACAGCACTCACTGCCCAAGGCGTATGAGCAGAAACATATCCTTTACCCATTGACAAAGAACCTTGATGTATCCTCTATGGAGGGCGAAGAGTGGAAGATTTGGCGTAAGAGGCTCAACCCGGCTTTCAGTATCCAGAATATCCACAGCCGCCTCCCAGACATTCTCCAAGAGGTGGAGGAATTTGCGGCTGTTCTCAAGAGTAAGGCAGGTAAAGATGGCCAGTGGGGAGACGTCTTCTTATTTGAGAAGGCCACCACCAATCTTGCTCTCGATGTCATTGTGCGCTTTTTCCTGTAAGTACATAGGCACCAACTGCCAGGAACCCTCCATCTATGTTCCATTTTGTAATGCTAATAGACTCTTCACAGAGATATTCGCCTGAATGAACAATGGGGAAAGAACTCACCCATGTGCCATGCTCTTCAAGACACCATTTCCAGAATGTACTTCTTTGTTAACATCACCAATTTCATCCAGTACTACAACCCATGGAGGCATTTTAAACTGTGGAAGAATTACAAAACTCTGGTTGAGAGTCTAACTCCCACGATTCAAGAACGCATGAACGCACTTCAGGAAGATCCAACCGCCAAAGGAAAAACACTCATCGATCTTATTGTCCAGGCACTTCAGGAAGAGAAAGCTGAACAGAATGGTGCCGTTAACGAAGGTAAAGGTCAATCCGCCTTGGTGTTCGACTCCGACTTCATGGAAATGGCGGTAGGTCAAATCAACACCTTCCTGTTTGCTGGTTTTGATACCACTGCGGCGACCATCGCATGGCTGTTCCGCTTATTGTGCCAACACCCAGACGTCGTGGCTAAACTGCGAGAAGAGCATGATGCCGTCTTGGGCCCGAATGCTTGGGACGCTGCAAACGTGATAAGAGAGGATCCCCAGTTGATGAATCAGCTCCCATACACCCTAGCTGTTCTCAAGGAATCTATGCGATACCACACCAATGTTGGAAGCATGCGCCGCGGTGAGCCAGGCTTCTTCCTTGTTGGTCCTCCCGGTTCCGATCCTGGCTTCGATGGAAAGAAGTTGCCCACCGAAGGCTTCATTGTTTGGGATGGCTCTTGGGCAGTCCATCACGACCCTGATATATGGCATCGACCGGATGAGTTTATTCCAGAGCGCTTCCTCGTCACCGATCGCCAAGATCCATTGTTTCCGCCAACTAACGGGTGGCGATCCTTCTTGGCGGGGCCTCGAAATTGTATTGGACAAAATCTTGTTGTACTTGAGATCAAGTTGGTCATGGCACTAGTGACTAGATGCTTTGATGTTGAGGTTGCATGGGAGGAATGGGATAGAGTCAAGTAAATCCTTTCACATCCGGAGTTCATTCATAACTATTGCTGATCGACCCCTTTATAGTGGAACAACTGACTCCAAGAAAGCGCCGACAGTATGGGGCGATCGCTGTTATCAAGTTGGAACAGACTCACCACCAAGAGTCAAGGATAGTATGCCAGTACACGTTAGGCTTCGCACATAGTAACATGGCAGTTGGTCTTGTGGGATATGGCGATGCATCAGATGATGGGCCAACTTTGGAAGCGAATAGTGGCATTAATGCCTATGTCTCCCAGCTGAAGATCATACTAGATTACCATTAACCCTAGTTTTGTTGATATCATCATTCTTTCGAGGAAATCATTATTGATACACATTACAGAGAAGAACATCAGTATCTACCTTGAAATCTTGACTCAGGGCTTCCCATGTTTCATCACACTCAGACCCCCTTGAGCAATATCATTCCTGAACACTTTGGGTTCAAACGACACGCACTCAACCCCCTGATAGGCTTTGTACCGGGCCTGTTGTAAGGTCTTTCCGTAGGCGGCCACCGAGAAGACCCGTCCTCCTGTTGTCCTCAGTAATCCATCGCCGCTTTCATCCCGGTGAGTTCCCGCGTGAAAAATGATCACGCCATCAGGAGGTGTCCTCAGCGTGATGGTCTTGCTTGTCTCATAACCACCAGGGTATCCACCGGATGCAATAACAACATTGCAAGCAAAGCCTGGTTTGACCTTGATGGTGTGTTTGACTTGGTCAAGTGTGCCGTTTGTGCATGATAGTAAGATATTCGCCAGGTCTGTTTCCTCAGCCAAGAGAAGTATCGAGCTCTGAGTTTCTGGGTCGCCAAACCGCACGTTGTATTCGATTACCTTGGGGGCAAGACTTGGTTACCATGACACCGGTGAAAAGCAAGCCCTGAAAGGGACACCCTAGAGAGACAGTCAGTGAGTCATCAGTCAGATCCAAATGGTTTCTGGTACCCCAAGGTGTTATTTACTCACCTTCTTTCTTGAGAGCTTCGAATGTTGGCTTCAAGATCTCATCGTCGATCTGTTGTGTCATCTCTGGGGTGACCATCGGAACAGATGTGTAAACACCCATGCCTGCAGTATTGGGTCCTTTGTTCTCCTTCAGGATTCTCTTGTGGTCTTGACCGGCTGGGAGAGAATAGAAGGTCTTTCCGTCGCTGAAGGTTAAAATGCTGATCTCGAATCCTTCCATGTACTCTTCGATCACTACCGAAGACCCTGCTGTAGAGAAGACTCCATATTTCATGATACTTCGAAGGTCCCCCAAAGCCTGCTCAGGTGTCTCGGGCAAGACCACACCCTTCCCTGCAGCAAGACCATCTGCCTTAATCACGATTCGGTGGTCGTCATCGATGAATACCTTGCGCATGTAGGCGCTGGCCTCGTCGAAGTCGTCGAAACTGCTGTGGGCGGCAGTGGGTATGTTGTAATTCTCCATAAACGTTTTGGCGAAAACCTTGGAACCTTCGAGCTGTGCTGCTTTACGTGACAGTGCGAAACATGGGATTCCCGCTATGAACCTGTCAGCCATCATGCTTTTGTTTGGATTGACGGTCGGCTGTGACCGACCCTTTCTAAATTATTCCTTGATACCATTGACCACATCGTCATCGGTCCAACTACTACCAATCCAACCTCAAGTTACTTGGCCTTTTGCGCCAAGTCACTGTATCCTGTAGAGCCTGTCCGGATGCCAGTAAGATTGGAAATAGGGGCAGCGCCTTGTTCGACCTTGTCCTCATCGAGAGATGTTCCTCCGTTTCCAGGAAAGACGAATACCTGTTTTACTGATTGGGATTTGCTCAATCTCCAGGCCAGCGCATGTTCTCGGCCCCCCTGTTTGTCAGATGCACGCAGCCGAGAGCTTAACACTGTTCAATGGGCCTGAACTTCAGCCACTTGCTTCAAGAACAAAAATAACAATTACGCCTTGTTCTTATCAAATTGTTGTTATATTTCATATAGTTAATCCTACTTCATAAGTCCTTTATAAGAATATCTGAAGATCACTGATGTCCTGTAATGTTCCATGAAGGCCATTCAAGTGTTCACAGCCATATATCCTGGTCAAGCAAAACAAAATCTTGCATTCCTACAAATTATAATAATTACGCAAGTATGTATCTGACCATCTCAACTTCATCAATCCGGCTATACCTCTACTTTAATAGACAATCCGTTTCTCCATAAACCCACATTCCCAAGTTAGAAACCATGTCACTTAAAACTCCGGAATTGATTCCGAAACTCCTTTGATCCAACTTCCAGACTCCGGAATGTAGCAAACCCAAATTTTGATGCTTCATGATGATGTTAGTTTATATCCGATCCATGGTCGGCGTTAATTCCACACCGGTGGAGCTTGTAATCAGTACGTCCTGATTCCACGAAGTTATCGGGAATTAGAAGCCCATAAGTCCGTGATATCTGATACTATAAGACGAATAACATCACATCGATTTAATGCACAATAATCAACAGCACTCAGCCTACATCACAATTACACCCAAAGCTAAATAACAACGCAACCACTAAGATCAAAAATGACAACCCCAGTCTGGCTTATCACCGGAAGCTCCAACGGCTTCGGTCTACTTCTGAGCCTGAGAGCTTTGAAGGCTGGTCATAGAGTCATTTCGACAGTACGAGATACTACTAGATCAGCTGATGTTGTCAGCCAAATCGAAAAAGCTGGCGGAAAGATCATCACTCTTGACATGACCGAGTCCAAAGCAAGCATCACCGAGAAGATCCAGGATGCAGAAAAGATTTATGGAAGAATCGACTATCTGGTCAACAACGCTGGATATTCTTGCTTAGGAGCCGTTGAGCTCTTCACGTAGGTTTATCTTCTACGTAAGAGACGGATACAAACTAACACAAGATTAAGAGAAGCCGAGGCTGAACATCAAATCCAGACCAACCTGTTTGGTCCTCTTTACGCACTTCAAGCTGCCCTTCCCGGTATGCGAAGCCGTAGTTCGGGAACCATTATCAACTTCAGCAGTATTGCTGGTCAAGACGCTCAGCCAAGTTGCGGACTCTACAGTGCAAGCAAATTCGCCCTTGAGGGTTTGACTGAGAGTCTATCCAAAGAAGTCAAGGAGTTCGGTATCAATGTTCTGATTGTCGAGCCTGGAGCATTTCGCACTAACTTCCTCGACGCTAGCGTTAAGAGCAACGTATCAGTCGAGAAGGCATATGAGGGTACCTTGCTATCGGAAACACTTACCAAGTTTGCGAACGCTTCAGGGAAACAGCGCGGCGATCCCAACAAGGGAGTGGATATCATCTACGAAGTTGCTACGGGGGAAGGAAAGGCAGGCCATCTTAAGGGCAAGATCTTGAGACTACCACTGGGCGAAGACTGCTTCACACGTCTCGGTAACAAACTTAAATTTCTTCATCACGATCTTGATGCAACTCGTGAGATTGGCACCACAACTGATATGGAGGAGAAGTAGATCTGGATACTCATAACAGTCGTTCAATAAGCAGTTATTATTATTCAGGCATTATCTATGGCATCATTGCCGCTCCTTAATTGTCAGTAGAATAATATCGTAACAGACTTCTCGTGCACTACACCAGGATGAATGTCGAAACAATGCGATGTATTATTATAGGCAGTCCTTTGTGAATATTACCAACGAATGTTCTGCCAGGGATTCTTTTGGTGGCTATTTAATGCAAGATGCAATGTCCAACGGCAGTGTGTTCAGGGTGTGTCCTGTCCCAATACTCCAGTGTGCTATAGAGTCCTTGGTAGGCGTACAAAATCCCATATTATATTCGGAATCCAAAAGCCAAGCATTTCTTTCATGGTGGCATAGTGGCGCCAGGCAATAATAGGTAGTGGGGGTATCGATTCTGAGCTTGTTGGGCTCGAAGTGTATGAATGTATCGGACGTCATTGGTCGCCTCATTTCTGTGCAACCTCATCAGGGGGTGAGTAGGAATGAATCTGTTTGTGGTGTTAGTATCAGATACCCGCTCCAGTGTTTGGATGCATACATACCTTATCAGCTACCTGAAGCCACTCTTCCATACTTCGAACGTAAGGGTCTGCGCTGGCATCTGCTAGTGCCTCATGGCCCCAAACAACCATTTCATCGAACTCGGCTGTTATTTGCATGCTTTCTATTTGTTCTTCCTCGGCATCCAGATCCACCACATGCTCTTCGACGGCTGTTTTGGGATCTTGTTGAGGAACTCGCTCGACAACGATGCCACGATAGTCTTCAGGCAATTTTACAACCTTTCCCTGGAGTTTTCGTCCACGAAAGTATGCTAGTTTCGTTCCATCTTATCATGCTGTTAGAGAGGCTTCGCAAACATATTTCGTTCTGGGGACAAACCGTCGGTGGCAGCAGGGGTCCAATATGATGATGTTGGTTCAATTGGGCCATCATGGTGTATACGACATGGCAGAATGTTTGCCACTGCCTTGGACTTGTTCTCGTCGGGCTTCAATGAAAGGATTGGTTGTGACATTATGGCTGTACAGCTTTTGTTTGTTGTTTAGGTAGGAGAAGGAGAACGCGACTAGACGCGTTAAGTGTCTGCGGCAACGGATGGCTTATCTTATCTCAGTTTGATACAGGCTAACCCCATCAGGGTCAGATCGTCCATTCGTCGAATGGGAACCTTTGAACATGCATGTGAAAGGAACGCAGGCCTTTACTTTATGGTTGGATTATGCTTTGTTCTTATGTACAATCCTTCATTCAGAGCTGAACTTCCGCCTACAGCCGATACTTAGTTCCACCAAAATCCACTGGCGATAATAATAAGAGCAATTGATGAGATTAGTAGTTGAGCCGCGCTTTGGTATATATACATGCTCCAAGACTATATGGGTATCTCGAAAATTACGGCAAATAGTCAGTTGCCTTTCATATTCCGGCCGAAACAATGATTCCAATCAATTATTTCTTCTTCTTCTTTGGTTTGTTTCCTTTTTGACCTCCTCCAGACGCTGTGTTTGGCGCATACCGATTCGCGTGGTCCACATCAAAAGCCGGCTTGTGTTTGCGAAAAAGTAACATCGTCGCTCGTGCATCTTCAATACTGGAATGCTCTCCGCCTTGTATCTCAACTCCTAACAAGTTTTGGGCAAGTACTCGTAATGATGGCTTTCTCCCGTTTGCGTATTTTTTGAATCCTGAGAACTTGGCTGTGTCGCGTATGTCTTTTCCTGGGTGGCTGAGAATGAGAGCGTCCAAATCATGCTTGAGGTCATGGCCGATCAAAATCCGACCTTGAAGAAGCTTGTCAATCTCTGCCTGTACTTCCTCAAAGTCCCGAGCAAATCTCATAGATTTTTGACTGATCCCGCTGACGGCTGTTCTCCAATTTGTGACCTTCTCCTTGGGTTTCACATAAGAGTCGTAAACTTGCACGCCATGAAAGTCGACGATGCTCACACGAGCGAGAGCTGATTCATGGCCACCTGGTCCGACACCAACCATCTCGCAGTCGATAGCAATGTATTTGCCGACCTCGATTCCCTCTGTGAGTCCATGGTTGATTTTATCTTTTTCGGCAGCAAGCATCATTGAGTTGTCTTTAGCACCCAAATTGTACGCTTCAGCGAGAGCTTCAGCGGATACATCATGGTCTTCTGCCCATAGCGCAAGAGATGTCGAGGTGCCTGGCACTGTCTCCTCAATCTTTGAACTGTGAACACCACCCATTTGCTTCTTGCCGCTTTTTGGTGCCGCTTTTGCTACTGTTGATGTTTTTGTAAAGAACGTAGAAGCCTTGGGCTTTTTCGTTGGTGGATTTGTTGATGGGGTCTCCGATTTGCGCTTTAGAGATGGCTTTGACGCGGATTCCTCCTTGAGCTTTGCTTGAAGCTTCTTCCAATTCGAAGAAAGCCCAGCCATTCTGTTTAAGATTGAGAATATCGGCCTGAAGAATCGCAGCCAATTTTTTATGTGTTTGTATCAGTATTGATCAAGAGTCGCAAAGCAAAGAGTTTCGACGATGAAACAAACGGGATTTTGCAACTACCGAATTACTGATAAGACGGAATCACGTTCACCGCCTTGCTGATAAGAGTTCTAAATCATTTTCTGCCATGCCCCTCCATCATACTTTCTCCCATTTTCCATTTTGCGACACTTACGCGACAACCGAACAATCATCAATACACGACGGCACAGACGACTTCCATCATGGCTGGTGGTACACCTGGAGGCGAGCCTACCGTTGGCTCTGGTGAGCCGCGACTAAAAAGCCTTGCGACACCCGAAACGATCAAGACTGGATGCATTGCCTGGGTAGAGAAAGAGGGTCAGCCGCGACGCGCCGAAATTCTTAGCATCAAGACAACCAAGAGCGGCAAACAATTTTACTGCAATTTCGATAACTTCAATAAACGACTGGACGAATGGGTACCTGTCATCAGATTGGACTTTACTCGGGAGGTTGAATGGCCAAATCCAGAGAAGGACAAGCCCAAAGACCCAAAGGCGAAGAAAGTGCCCACTGTGCAGTCTAAGAAGACACAACCTTCGAAAAAGTCTCAAAAGAGGCCCGGCAAGCGAGAGCAATCCACTACATCGGAGGCCAATACACCACATCCTTGGACTGGTACGCAATTTGTTCTCAATTCAAGTATATCCGCTAACAACCGTCTAGATTTCGTAGAGAACCAAAATCGGCAAAAGTCTGCCTCGATCGGTCCTGATGGTGATAGTCAGGCACGCGCCAGCGTTGACGGTGGCGCAACACCTGTGGGTGATGAAATGGAAGTGGACGAAAGGGAAACAGAAGTCAAAAGGGAGCCGGCAGAGTTCAGTCGTGAGGTCGAGATTGAGAAGCTTCGTACATCCGGCTCCATGACTCAAAACCCAACCGAAGTCTCACGAATCCGAAATATCTCAAAGGTTCAGTTCGGCCGTTTCGATTTGTATCCGTGGTATTTCTCGCCATACCCCGAGATCTTCAGCCAAGAAGACGTTATCTTTATCTGCGAATTTTGTCTGAGCTATTATGGGGACTTGAAAGCTTTCACGCGGCACCGAAAGAAGTGTACACTACAGCACCCACCCGGAAACGAGCTCTATCGAAATGAGGACATATCTTTCTTCGAAATCGATGGCCGACGGCAGCGAACGTGGTGTCGTAACCTTTGTCTTTTGTCCAAGATGTTTCTTGACCACAAGACACTGTATTATGATGTGGACCCTTTCCTGTTTTATGTCATGACGACACGAACCGAAAAAGGAAATCACTTGGTTGGGTATTTCTCCAAGGAGAAGGAGAGTGCGGACGGGTACAACGTTGCTTGTATTCTGACCATGCCTCAATACCAGCGTAAAGGCTACGGTCGACTTCTGATCCAGTTCTCGTACGAACTTTCTCGAATTGAAGGGAAACTCGGGTCTCCTGAAAAGCCACTGTCAGATTTGGGTCTGCTGAGTTATCGACAATATTGGTCAGAAAACATTCTGGAATTCCTGATGGGCTACAACGAACGTGACGAAAAAGTCACAATCGAGGCGATTTCTAATGCCCTGGCCATGACAACGCAGGACGTCGAGCACACCCTCCAAGCATTGCGGATGCAAGTCTACCATAAGAGTGACCACAAGATTGTGATACCCGAAAAGTTAATCCAGCAACGCGAAAAGACCAAACTGAAGAGGAAACGAACCGTGGATCCAACTAAGATCCAATGGAAACCTCCAGTATTTACAGCTTCAAGTCGAACATGGGGATGGTAATTGTAGCAACTCAGAGCAAGCGAAAGAAAAGATAGTTTTAAATGATACCCCTATTCATATACCTAAGAAGTCTGTTCGCATCATAGGCTGTAGATTGGCGAAGTGCATGTTAATTGTTACCCCAACTTTCACAAGCCCCACGTTCTATAACTCAAGCTCTGGTGGAGGTCAACCCGCCCTACGTAATCAGTACGAAACGGCAATGCGACAGCTGTTGACAACTCAAGCCCTACCAAAATCATCAATACACGCCTAACCGCTACTAGAATTAGACATTCTCTGTGTTTCTCAGACCACAATCCATCTTCACTTCTGGCGACATCATCGCGGGCCCATCATGACGCTTCGTCTACTGGCACCGAGCTTACTCGCTCTGAGCGCAACACTCGCTAGCGCCAGCCCCGACGACGAACAGCAACCTCTTGCCGACTACCGTCGCATATGTCCCGATTACACACGATACGCTGCATTTCCTCAGTAGGTTGATTGAATTGCGCAAGAACAGAGTGGTTTTTAGCTAATATCGATTCATCATAGTCGACCCTTCAGTGAAGGTCCCAAAGCGCTCCCATACCAACGACCGAGCAAGCAATGTCGGACGTTTCAGTCAGATGCGATTGAAAAGGTCATTGAAGATGTGACGTCGCGCATGAAAGATCCAGACCTGGCACGATTGTTCGAAAACGCATTCCCTTCGACGACAGATACGACCGTCAAATTCCACACCAAAGGAAAGACGGATACTGGCTTCTTTCGCATGGGAAGCTTTAGAGGATTCCACGATGAAGGGGCTTGGGAGGGACCGCAATCATTCATCATCACAGGTGACATCATCGCCGAATGGCTGCGCGATTCGACAAACCAGTTACGGCCTTACCAACCACTTGCTAAGAAGGACCCTGCTATACATACATTATTGCTCGGCGCCGTCAACACCCAGGCTGAGTATGTGATTGAGTCTCCGTACTGCAACGCCTTCCAGCCACCACCTATCAGCGATCTTCCCGTCTCGTCTAATGGACAAGACGATAATGTCCACCCCGCATACGAGCCTCGGGCTGTCTTTGAGTGCAAGTACGAGCTCGACTCTCTGGCGCATTTTCTCGCTCTTGGTAATGATTTCTACGATCATACAGGCTCGACAGACTTCGTGAATAAGAGATGGTTACGGGCTGTTGATACGCTTCTGAACGTGCTCACCGAGCAGTCCAAGTCGACCTTTGATCCCAAAACTGGCGAATTTCAGCGCAATGAGTACACATTCTCACGTCGCACCGATACGGGAACCGAGACTCTTAACTTGAGGGGCATCGGCAACCCTTTGAACTGGGGCACAGGATTGGTTCGCTCAGCCTTTAGACCTAGTGATGATGCTACCATCTTGGGCTTCTTTATACCCGCCAACGCGCAAATGTCTGTTGAGCTGAAGCGAGCATCCAAGATACTCGCGGCAGCTGGTAAGACAACGCTTTCTCAAAAATTGGAGACATGGAGCACGAAACTCCGCGAAGGTGTTATGGAGCACGGCGTAATCAAGCACAAGAAATATGGAGACGTCTTCGCTTACGAAGTCGATGGTTACGGTTCGTCGATATTGATGGACGATGCGAACTATCCTTCACTACTGGCGCTCCCTCTTATGGGATTCTGCGAAGCCAGCGACCCCATCTACCGGAACACCAGAAAGATGCTGTTGGAGAAGGGCGGAAACCCATATTATCTCGAAGGAAAGGGCTTCAGGGGTATTGGAGGTAAGGCACTTATTACTACAAGACTATTCGCAATGACTGACATTTTATAGGACCTCATATTGGACTTCGAAATGCCTGGCCAATGAGTCTTTTGGTGCAAGCTAGAACTTCAGACAACGACGAAGAGATTAAGGAATGCATTGATCTTGTCCTCAACTCTGCAAAGTTGGGCTTAGTACATGAGAGTATTGATGTTGAGCATATTAGCCAGTATACTAGGAGCTGGTTTGCATGGGCCAATGGCGTATTTGCTTCTACGATTCTTGATCTGGCGAAGAGGAAACCACATTTGATCTTTGGCGAGGGTGCTACGGCGTATGAGATCTGATTGATAAAGGAAGCTGTTCAAACTAAAAAGCTGAATTGGTACATTCAGGGTATGAAGAATGATAAATTGAAAGGTTGGTTCCAAATCTGATGGGCAAACTTGCCCATGTGAAACCCCAGACTACATGACAAGAAACAATCATGTTTCGAAAACATCCAAATGGTAAATACAAAAATGACTGGGGAAATCATCAATGTAAGGGCTTAGATCGATCCACAGTTATCCGTTCATACCCCTCCTTCACACTCTCGAACATATAGCCGAACTACAACTCCATGGCTTTCTCTAAACAGATCCGACATCGGTCTCACGAGCTTATTGGCAGTATTTTCAAATATAAATATTGCGTCGTTAATAAACAACAAAAAAGACGGCTCTATAACACTTCAGCATACAAAGCTTTTATCTTGTCTCATTCTGCAGCATCTTCCCCTCTATGTCGTAATCGTAACATCTGCCCCTCAACACCACCACTAACATCACCATCGTACATCCACACAGCAAAGATGACGATGAAACCAACTCACGCTTCAGAGGTTGCCTCCAATCCTCAATCGGGAAAACACCAAATTAACCTCATCCGTGGTTGGCCAAACCCAGGTCTTCTCCCTGTCGATCTCATCTCAGCAGCAGCCCAACGCAATCTTTCTGATCCGTCCATTTACGTCCCGGCTCTACAGTACGGTGCTTAGCAGACTTATTGTATAATTACTAGCTAATTCTAACCTAGATATGGCGCTGACCCGGGATATCAGCCTCTGCGCGAAGAATTGGCGACCTGGTTGTCTGAGCACTACCGTGTCGAGCGCGATCCCAATCGCATTTGCATTTCAGGCGGCGCAAGTCAGAATGCCGCATGCATTCTACAGAGCTTTACTGACCCTCATGTAACCCAAGCCGTGTGGTGTATTTCACCATCGTACCATCTGATCTTCCAGGTCTTTCGCGACAATGGCTTTGATGGAAGGCTGAGAGCTACGCCTGAAGATGAGGAGGGTGTTGATATTGAAGCATTAGAGGCTAAGATTGTCGAGTTTGAGAAGAATGCACCAGAAGCCAAGGTATGCCTATAGTGATTCCAATGCGATACTCATACTGACACATATGAATAGCCTCCTGTGAGTGATGCCGGGAAGGATCGTAAGCATTATCGCCATGTCATCTACGCTGTTCCCACATGCTCAAACCCTTCTGGCAAGACAATGTCACTACGTCGCCGAGAAGCACTCGTTCGCCTTGCTCGCAAATATGACGCCCTCATTATCTGCGACGATGTTTATGACTTCCTTCAGTGGCGCATTGACAGCGATCCCAGCCAAGTATCTGCGCGTGTAAGCGACCACGATCATCCTGAAATGCTACTCCCTCGCCTGTGCGACATCGACCTTGCCATGGGGCAGGCGGACAATGATCCCCAAGGTTTTGGTCATGCCGTAAGTAACGGGTCTTTCAGCAAGCTTGTCGGGCCAGGAATGCGAACTGGCTGGCTGGAAGGCTCGCCTGCGTTTGCTTATGGCCTCGCCCAGACGGGCGCAACTAAATCTGGTGGTTCACCCAGTCAGTTCTGTGCATCTCTGATGGCTGATCTATTGCAAACTGGGGCACTTCAGGAGCGACTGGCCACAACAATAAGGCCCCAGCTTCAGCACCGTCACCGCATCATGATGGAAGCAATTCATAAACATCTAGGACCACTGAGTGTTGGCATTCGAGATGCCGGTCTCCCTGATGGGCTTGTTTATGGTGGCTACTTTGTGTGGCTCACGTTAGAGGAAGGCATCTCAGCCAAAGTTGTTTCACAAGCTGCGATGGCGGAAGAGAACTTGGTGGTTGGCAACGGGACTATGTTCCAAGTGCCTGGAGATGAGAAGACAGTTGACCTGGATAACGCAGTTCGGCTGACATTCGCATATGTCCCTGAAGAGGACTTGATTGAGGGCGTCCAGAGGTTAGCAGGCGTGCTACGGAGGATAAAAGAAAACCCCGGCAAATACAAAGCATCTGCCAGCACGACGGCCGATAGCGATATCATAGATGCCAACAAATAAGTCGAAAATATCTTCCGGCCTAGGCACTAGAGGCCATGAAAGAACGGTCTCTCCAACATCGTCAGTATTTTTGAACTGATGAGCTCGGTAGCGATGAAAGATAACGCCATGCCATACTTGGGGCAGTATGGAAAACAGAGGACCCGTCATTATTCGATATAATAAATATATATTCCAGATCTACAATACTCATCTTATTGTGATTACATTGTTCGGTTGTATAAGAAGTGTGCCAAACGCTATTTGCAATGCCAATTTTACTTCTTCGAAAAGAAGGACATGATATTTCCTTGTCCCTTGGGTGCAGGCTTCTTCGCTTTTGATCCAGTGGATGATGCTGCGGCTGGTGTTGGGGCTGCTTTCTTTGCTGGTGGAGGAGCCTCATCCTCTGAGAAGGATTCCCAGCCTGGCTCTTGGATCGTGACTTGTAAAAATTAGCATCTTTATCTGTAAAGCCCATAGTGGCAACTTACCCATGTATCCCTGGTCGTCGAGGATTCGCTTCTTCTTCATAACTCGTCTCTTGCCCCTCCTGCGTCCATTACCAGTACCCGAAACCACTTCAGCGGATTCCATCTCTTCGTTCTTCGCCTCAGGTTCTGGCTGTGGCTCAGGTGCCTCCTCCATCTCTTCGTCGGCCTGTTCAGACTCCTTCTCAGATTCTTCCTTTTCATCCTCATCGTCATCTTCCATCATCTTTCGCAGTGCATCTTCTCGTTCCTGTCGCCTCTTCTTGATATCTAATGGATCGGCTGTAGGCTTCGAGTTTGACTTGGTCGCGACTATATCAGAGTCATCCGCCTCTCCGTCGTCAGACAGGACCATGGCATCATCCTCCTCCTCTTTAGGGGCAGGCTTAGTTTTAGCAGGTTTAGTCGCTGCTCTTGCAAAAGACTGCATAATTCCACCTGATGCCCCTCGCTTAAGAGACGCTGCTGGTTTCTTTCCACCACTTGGAGCAGGTGTAGCACCCTTGGTTGAGGATGCTGCTGGTTCTTGCTTAGCAGCCTTGGTATGCTTTGTCTCTGGCGCAGCGGCAGATGCTTCCTGCTTGGACTTTGCGGCCGCTGCTGGCTTTGGAGCAACTGGCTCTTTCTTGACAGACTTTGATGAGGCTGATGCAGGTTGCTGAGGACGAACCTTTCGTTCTCTTCGTTGGGCATTCGGGTTGCTAATAACTCCGTATTTCCTGGATGCAGTAGTGGTGTCTCCGTCTATCGAAAACTCCGAGAGCTGTGCGGCAAGATCTACCAGGAGAGCGTGATCTTTTTGCGGGTGCAGTGCAAGGCTGTAAACATGAATTGAAGTCACTTGTTGGTATGCCGCCAGAATATCTATCGAAAGAGTCAGCCATCACTTTGATCGGCAAATGTTCATTAAGCTGCACACCTCTCAGCTCCTCTTCCCGCGCCAGGGTCAGGGTGGAAACTGGGGTCTCCTCTTGCTCGGGGATTGAGCTCGACATTTCCACATCGCTGTCCTCGTTGTCCAAATTTTTGGTACCATAAACCAGATAGGTCGCATGAACTGAATTGGCTTTTTGGGCATTCTGGTATTTGTGAAAGTCATAAAGCATTCTAGAAATTGTCAGATACTGTTAAACAACTGTTTTGCGGCAGACTCACTCCTTTGCGGTGTTGACATGCACTTCCAGAGTTCGACTTAACAGCCGATATGTGATCTGTGTTATATCAGTGGACTGAACGTGAGAAATGGAGGATATCACAAACCGGTCGCTCTTCGCTAAGCAGACGGTCTGCTAGAAACTTTCTGTACTCCTCCATCTTATATTGTTTGTGATGTTTTGGGGGTGTATCGGAGTCAACTATGGTGAAGTCAAAAATACCGTTAGTACACTCCGCGCTTCAATGTTCGATAACAAATGATCCAAGAGTCGGCTATAGGACACCGTGGATTTACATACTAATTTCGTCTTTTATGTTTTCTGTCGCCAAGTTTTCTAATAGAGACTACCCAGAGGCCAGGTAACGAACGCGCCTGAACGCGAGATCACGTGTCAGCCTCTAAAGAACGGAAGGTACAGCAAGCTAACAGTACAATATCCCTGTAGTGAATACCAGCAACCCCTGGTCCTTCACTGGCATCGTCATTTTCGACGTCGCGTCTTCAACGCGACTAATTTATTCTGGGTCCAGGATCGCAAATCGACCCCTGTACTATACCGGCGAATTCTAGTTGTCATTTTTGTCATACATAAACACCAGCAGACTGTTTCTTCTTATTAAACCTCACCGATTTCTCCATGTCCGCGCACAACGTCCCCGACTCGACAGACTGGCTCGCGACGCCTCTTAGTGCCCTTGCCGCTGTCGAGGGCGCATTGCGATGCCAAGTATGTAAGGACTTCTATAAGACGCCCATGATCACCAGCTGTTCTCATACATTCTGTTCCCTCTGCATCCGAAGGGCACTGTTGAACGACGGCAAATGTCCGCTCTGTCGTGCAACAGATCAAGAGAACAAATTACGAAGCAACTGGTCCTTAGAAGAGGCTGTACAAGCCTTTGTTAGCGCTAGATCGGATACTTTAGAGTTGGCGCGCAAAGGCAATTCCCAAAGCACGACATCAAAACGAAAAGCCACGTGTGATAATCACGACTCTACTAATTCGCCAGATGGCAAGCGGCTAAGGTCGTCGTCGCGATTACAAAGCACTCGTTCTTCAACCCGTCAGACGCAACAAATCAAATACGACGAAACTATCGAGGTGGCAGATAGCGATAGCGAAGACGACGATGAATACCAACCACAGCCAGGTGAGTGTCAAATCTTTCAAAGTTAGAGAATTTCTTCTAACCAATCTCAGACGATGGTCTGGTTGCATGTCCAGTCTGTCAAGATCGAATGAAGGACTGGCAGGTCTTTACGCATTTAGAAAGATGTACTGGGCCGAAGCCAAAATCACAACGGACTGTGTCTGGTGTTTCGAGCTCAATATATAGCCAGCAACGACAACCTACAAAAGCGCCCGACCGGCTTCCCACGATCAACTACACTATGTTCAGAGACCAGGCATTGCGAAAGAAGATGGCCGATCTTGGCATTCCGAACCAGGGCCCCCGCAATCTACTTGAGCGACGACACAAAGAATGGATGACAATATGGAATTCAAACTGCGACGCTGCACGACCTAGGACGCGCCAGGAATTACTCCGTGATCTGGATGTTTGGGAAAGGACACTTGGAGGACGGGCCCCGACTACAGGGCAGTCTATCCAAAACGCGGCCATGATCAAAGACAAAGACTTTGATGGCGCAGCATGGGCCGCCAAGCATGACGAATCCTTCCAAGACTTGATCGCAAGCGCACAAAAAACGAGGCTTGAGGCAAAACAGAAGGCCGAGAAAGCGGCCAGAGAAACGGAGATGGAAAAGACTGCCAACGCACATTCCCAAGCGCAGGAGACAGAAGTTCTCCCTCGACGGCTGACTGGGCGAGTAGTCTCCCGTACAAGGGAACCATCAGAAGAAATTTATCAAATGCAGGAGCCACAGGCTTTGAGTCGACTGCATATTGAGCGAGAATTCCCTAATGATATAGGGGGGCCACTAGGAGAAGATTACCAATGACACTTCACCTATGGGTGAGGGTGCGCATTTGCAATGAGCTTTCGGGACGAGCGCCAACATCCCAAACCGGCCGATAGTAGTTCGAACATGGGCAAAGAATCACTATGTGCACATAGATAGGAGTTGGCTAATTTGGGTGAATAGACAGATGATGCGTGGACTGAGATACAATACAGTGATGCAAGAAACAGAAGCAACACAGATGCCCTAATGTATGGATTCTAACAAAGAATGACCCAATTTGTGCAATCTTAAGCTGAAACATAACGCCCCGAATACCCTACTACATTGATCATGTACACATATAAACCATTGGGTCAGCACTGACCCTCTTCCTCTTAATATTCTGTGTCGTTAGCATTCCCTATATTGCCAAGTTCGCAATTCCAGTCTCGGCAGTCGGTGTCTGTTCCTTTTGTCGGATTTCCTCGCTGTCAGCGGGCACAGTTGGAAGCTCGTCGAGTTTCTTTTGTGCCTCGGCCGCTTCCCGTTCCTCGCGTGCTTTCTCCTCTGCAACCTCTTTGGTCTTCTGCTTCTCCTCTTCCTTCTCGCGCTCCTGTGCCTCCATAGCCTCAAGCTCGTCGTCGAGTACGCCCTCGTCGACGACTTCGCCAGTTGACTCGGCCATGATGGCGCTGATCTCGTCTGTAGAGCTCATCTGTTCGCGCAGCTGATCCATAACCGCATCGACACGGTCTGCACCACCAACTTGCTTGTTAAGACTTGCCAGCGCTCCAGAAGAAGCCTCCATAACGTTGACCATCTGCACGTTGTCAGCGGCCTGTTCAAGCTTAGCAGCGACTTCTTCCAATTGGTTGAGGGTTGAATATCGGGTAGCCAAAGACGCCTCTGCGATCTTCTTGGACTTGAGAGCTGCGAGCGCTGCCACACGGTTTTTGCGAGTGACGGCATCTTTGGCTGTTTGTGAGAGTTCGTCGATTCGCGTGTTGAGGATGTCGGTTTGATGTTTGAGGTTTTCTGTAAGCTCTTTGAGAGATGCAATCGCAGCATCTTCCTTTGTGATGCCACCCTGCTCCCCAGACCCCTTGATCCTAATCGTGTTTCCGTCATAGTCAATGACCTCCTTATCTCGCGACAAAAATTTCAGCAGCACATCCAGATCGCTTTCTGTCAAACGTTGGTCCTTAACAAGAGCCGCAGAAAATGCCTTCTGGAACTGTGCTCTGCTGAAAACGCGATCAAATCTTGACACCTTGTCTGCCATCAGATCGCCCAACTCCTTTGCAGCGGTTTCCATATTCTTGATAACGACATACTGGCCGGTTGGCAGCTTATCGTCTCCTCTAGAAGGGTCTATAACGCCCAGTTGTCGCAGAGTCCAGCTCATAACACTCCATGGTAAGCCTGCCCAGCTGCTCTGATATATACTTTGTTGGGATTTCTCGAAGTCGTTGAGAGGTATGAAATCGCGGCCAGTGGTCGATTCGCGGACCACTGTTCCAAGAGCGAGCGGTTGCCCGAATTCTTTGTGTTCCAGTGACCGGAGCAGCGAGTCGTCGAGTTTGAGGACAAAATGATCGGGAGTCGACCCGCGATGGGATATCATGCCCTTTGCGACGAGATCTGATAAGGCCTGGCGCCAGGCAGAGATGTTGGCTTGGTAACCATCTGGGTTCAGGGTGCGTTGGGATCGAAAGTCGGAGTATCGGGCTGGTAATCGTGACCTGTGAGGCAAGTTAGCAAACATCGATATAGATTGATCGTGCAAGGTTGTGTTACCTGCTGAAGCTCGGGTCGTTGTGGATGAGGTAGTCTGCAAGCTCGCCCATGATAACTCAAGTTGAGCACGCCTGCCTGTATGCATGCACTCCTGGGGGATATCAAGGTTTGGGATTCCTTTGAACAAAACGGTCAAGAATTTCTTGGTCGTGGCTTTTTGCGTCGCAGAGTGAATGATGAAAGGATGGATAATAAAGGGGGATATCAAAAAGAAAATGACGACACTTTACTTTGGATGCATCCCGTGAATGTAAATCGGTGCAGCCCGTCCCGTCTGTTAGGCTTTGGCTGTTACCAGGGACGATGGCCCTTGTAGTGGGGCTATTAGTGAATTAACAGGGGGGTCCGTTCGCTATCATTCGAACGTTGAAATCTTTCCATGAGCTGCTGGTACAAGACATAATGATGGATATTAATCGTGGTCAACCGGCACCTTGAATGGGCCCTATGCTGAGCATATAGTTACCTATATATGATGTTTTACATTCATAGATAATAGCATATCTCAACATGTTTCTCCGAAGAGTCGTTACCATACTCTAACACAGCCCAGGTTTAGTGATTGTTTGACAATCGGATCTGTAAGTATTGCAACGTGGACATGTCATGATGTCTTGTAGCAAAGAGTCCTATCATATCGATTCTGTTATAAGTCCAGGGCCGTAAACGGATGACTACGGCAGTCGACCTCAAAGCCGAGACTCCCTGCTACAACCCAAACTTTCGGTCTTCAAATCTGTGCTTCTTTCGTCACTTTGGCCGGGATAAGGCAACTATTTGAGCCCCTGATAGGTCAGAACTCAGACGCAGGTCCTCCTCTCGACTCCAATTTACTGGAGTAAGTCGATGGGTCGAATCGCGGGGTAAGAAAAGGCCGCTCAGGTTGTTCGATAACATTAACTGAACAGGTCTAGTAGATGCTGTAATTCCGTTTTATCATGAATTGCCTATCGTAATTGATTATTAAATTCTGCTTAGCTTTTCTTCCTCAATGTCTTATCACGATAATTAAACTGTCCCGTTGTGATATATCAGGGACAAAGACAAGACTTGTAAATAACTTCATCTTCACAAGACCCTCATCGGTTACCTATCTATACCAGTCTGGGCTCCTCCTCCTTGTTTTGTCCAAAACTCTCCTATCATATTCGATCACACCATCCTCATCTTCCTTACATTTCTCCACCTTGCTCTCAGTCTTAGTCAACAAATGAATACCCGTCGGCTCTTCACTACTGCATTCAAGACCCTCAACGTCTCTCTTACAAAATCACATTCACTCCTTCCAATCTTCCGTCCCCTCCTCACACATCGCACAATGGCTTCAGCTGCTGCTAAACGTCTCACCGGCAAGACTATCCTTGTCACCGGTGCCTCCTCCGGCATCGGCCGTTCCACTGCTCTCGAGTTTGCCAGGACCGCACCCAAGAATGACCTACGTCTCGTTCTTACTGCGCGCCGTGTTGACTCTCTCAAAGAGCTAGCCGAGCAGATCAAGAGCGAGGTCGGTGATGGCGTTCAGGTTCTTCCCTTCAAGCTTGATGTCAGCAACTCTGCCGAAGTGAAGAGCATCGTAAACAACTTGCCCGAAGAGTGGAGGAACATTGATGTCCTTGTTAACAATGCGTAAGTAGTTTACTTGCAAAGATAACATGATACAATGGCTAATAGAAAGAAAAGAGGCCTTGTCAAGGGCGTGGCTCGGGCTCCAGAAATTGCTGAGGAGGATATGAATATCATGTTCCAGACAAATGTCACTGGTCTCATCAACATGACCCAGGCCATCCTCCCTATCTTCCTTGCCCGACCTGATGGTGGGCATGGCGACATCATCAATGTAGGCTCTATCGCTGGTCGGGAACCCTACCCTGGCGGCGGTATTTACTGTGCTACCAAGGCTGCCGTTCGCAGCTTCACTGAGAGCTTGCGAAAGGAGCTCATTGCCAGCCGCGTTCGTGTTATTGAGATTGATCCCGGCCAAGTCGAGACTGTAAGCTGAGCTCGGCCCCCGTAACTTACAAGAGTAACTAACAGATATACAGGAGTTCTCCGTGGTGCGATTCTATGGCGACAAGACAAAGGCCGATGCAGTCTATGCGTAAGTAATCCTCATAATTTAAAGCTACTCATACAGTAAACTAATCACAAGCAGTGGGTGCGAACCTCTCACACCCGAGGACATTGCCGAGGTCGTCGTGTTTACCGCGACCCGCCGAGAGAATGTTGTTATTGCTGATACACTAGTTTTCCCCAGTCATCAGGTAAGCTTCAAGCTCGACACTCAAATGGACCGACTAACTTTGGTGAACAATAGGCTGGTGCCGGTTCCATGCATCGAAAGGGGGCATAGATTACTTAGGGTAGAAATCAACGAACAATCATGCATCATGCTAGTCTTTACGTTGTGTGCAGGACAAATGATTTTGAATTGAACGCGATCTAACGCGTGGCTAGCAGCTATAATCAATGACTGACAATGAATCCTTAAAGGAATGCATTACGGAATGTTCGAAAATTTCTCTTGCCCATAACTCATCTGCCCCCAAAGAGACAGCAGACCAATATTGATCTTGAGTCACAGGCCTTCTAAGACCGAATAATTTGATATACCAGCGTTCCGTTAAGAACCCATTCTGGGATGAATCGGGCTCCTGCCGTCAACAAGTGACGGCACCACTGGGTTGCATTTTGCCATACCTCACGTCAAGGCTGGCAGACATATGACACGTCACATCACGCTGCAGTGAAGCTGAACCAGAAAGACCGGAAACCATCATCATAATTCATCACCTACTCTGCTTTTGCTCCAATGTTCCAAAATCGGAGGGCATACATAGCCAGTACAGGATACCGAAGGTTCCTTTCCCCAGACGCCTCGCTAAAATAAATAGTAATCATAAAAAACAACCTTGACGGTGTTTATCAGTACGAAGCCATCCGAACTGGCCAAGTAAAGTTGTGTAGCAACAGGTGATTGGCCAAGACCAAACACACGGCAATGCAACCGTGTCTAATCACCGTAGTGTTGGAAGAGAGGCGAGAGTGCCTCACCGTAGTGGTTACGTCGAATGGCTTCAGCGAGCAAGAAGGAGAGGTCGAGAACGACAAGCTTGCTGATGCTGCGAGCTCTGTCTTTGTCGATGGGAAAGCTGTTGGTGACAACAATCTGGTCAATGCACTCGCACGCTTGAAGTTGTTCCAGACTATCACCGCCGAACACGCCATGAGTGGCCATGCAGTAAACCTTCTTGGCTCCTCCCTTCTTCACTACAGTCTCGGCTGCAGCGATCCAAGATCCGGCCTTGTCAATCATGTCATCCACGATGAAGACGGTACGGTTCTTGACGTTTCCAACCAGGGTAATGAGGTGCTCAGCGCCAGGATCCTCGAAAGCATTGTCTTCCTCATCAGAACTTGCCGCAGCATCGCCAGATCCTCCAAGAGATTGGGGCTCAGGAACAAAGAACGAAGATGCATGAGACATCGTCATTGGGTCGTCTTCGACACTGCCGTCGACAACCGATCGATCAGGAGAAGGATAGTCATCCTCAACGATACGACCCTGGACCAAACGACCTTGCGTGACCTCAGACGCCTTATGATCATCGTAGTCCGTCTCGCCGTTGACCGAATCATCGGGTGATCCGGCAGGTGGTGTAGCGTTTGGATCCACAGGCTGGGGCTGGGTAATGTTGGAGTCGGGCACACGGGCGGAACTGTCGACTCGTGTAGGGGAGCCCTGCGAATTCGTCACAATTCTAGTGCGCGGAGGAGGGGTCTCCCTCTTAGGAGTGACGTCAGTCTCGACCGCGCGCTCGGGCTGCGGAGGTCCGCGATAGGGAACAGGGCGGTTTGACTCCAAAGGCGTCGGTTGGCGCTCGACGTTATGATCAAAATGTCTCATGATCATGCTGGCCGTCATGTTGCTTACACGCTTTCTATCAGTAGTGACGATACCGAAGTTGAGCTTCAGAGCATCCGCAAGCGATGTCACACGCTTGGTTCCTCCAGCATTCTTGGAAACCACGACCGCTTCGCGCCAGTTAGACACGTTGTGACGGATCCATTTTGCGAGGATGGGCTCTGCATGTAGATTGTCGACAGGACATTTGAAAAAGCCCTGCATCTGAGATGCATGAAGGTCGACAGTGATGATGTGTTTAACACCAGCAACACCCAACAAGTTTGCGAGCATACGAGCAGTAATCGCACCTCTATGCGACTTCTTCTTCGATTGCCGACTGTAGGGGAAATACGGGAGGACGGCTGTATAAGGATAACAAGTAAGCCGATTGAGGTCTCAAACAGGGGAAGAGAACCACAAACCAGTGACTTTGTTAGCAGAGCCGCCTTTGCAGGCTGAGATCATGATGAGAAGCTCCATGATGGAATCATTGATGCTGGGGCTGCCGGACTGGACAACGAAGACATCCTTCTCTCGGACACTTGTCAGAATTCTGACGCTCGTTTCGCCCTTAGTAACCGGTTAGCTCAAAGCACGCAGTTGACTGACTGCCAGACATGGGCCAGGGCGAGTCGGTCCATCGAGAGTGTCGGGGCCGTGTGCCAAAGAAGGGTCGGGTCATGTTGAATAACCATGGCCACGAGGGCAAGGGAAGCTCACATTGGAAAACTGCGTAAGCTCAGCGCTGGCAGGATGCATACCCAAGTTCTCGCAGATTTGACCTGTGAGGACTGGGCATGAATTGCCGGCGAAGATCAAGGTGTTGCGCATCTTTACCAGCCCATTAACCGAAGTGTAAAGGGTGAGGTGTGGATGTGGATGAAGAAAACAGAAGAAAGAAGGATGAAGTGAAAGGAAACTTTTTAAAGCTTGCGCGATCCACTCTGGCAGGAGCTTTTTTTTCTTCGTCGCTTCCGTACAAGTAACCGTGTGAAGTATGATTTTCCGCACTGTAAATGACAACCAGTGGGACCATCTTCTAGTGAGATTAAAGAGGCTTTGTCCACCAGATTATAGCTTCTCCGTACTCGCATCACAGTGCTGCTACTGTATGTTCTCCCCGCACTCATTAGCCAAGCGGGGCATCCCGGAAGTGCGTCAGTCGCAATCTCCAACATTCGGCCGCCGAAATCCTTACTATGACTGTGTCGCAGTCAGTTTGCGCAAGGTGACATCTTGTGACTTCAATCATCGACAGGCTTTATTTTATGTTGAGTAACTTAAGCTGCCATACTTTAAGACCAAAAACCTTGTCGACGCGCACATTCTAGTGGAGATGTGGTAACTTCAGGAAAGAAAAGACTAAAAACCCATTCCTTTCTTCAACATGGGGATTCCTCGTCTTATATCTACCCTAGAGCCCTATGTCGTTCACGGAGTTCTCGACAATGAAAGTGTGGTCATTGATGGTCCTGCACTAGCCTATCATGTTCTTTACATTTGCAACAGGCATGAAATTCCTCAGCCGTCGTACAAAGTCCTTGGTGATACTACCATAGCATGGCTGGACGCGCTCATCGAACGTGGTGTCAATGTGTATGTTGTTGTCCCTCCTCAGCCAGTCGACATTCACTAAAGCCCCAAACTAGCGACGCCATATACTTCGATGGATATCTCCCACCAGACAAAGAACCAGTTCGTATGCACAGAATGGTTAAAAGCCTTGATCAGTTAAAGAGAATTCATTCTACTGAAACCGGCGGCTACTTCCCAGCGTATTTCTCAACCCCTGATGAAACCTTGCCCACTCTCTTCTCTGCCGCAAGACCACCAGTAGGAAAACCGACGATACCACCCAGCTTTCATGTCCCTGCTATAATCGATGCTTTGAAACTCTCACCACGCTATGCAAAGCTTGTGCATCTCGTCCCAGGGGAGGCTGACGCATACTGTGCACAACATCTCTCACAGTCGGGTGGCACAGTCCTGACCTCCGATTCGGATTTAATCGCTCATGAGTTGGGAAAGGGAAGCGTCGTTTTCCTCCGAGATATTTATCTGGATGAGAATTCTCATCTCGCATGCGCGAGGTTTAATCCTACACATATATCTGAGAAACTCAAGCTTGCTTCCTCTGCAGAAATTTGTCGATTTGCATATGAACGAAAGTGTTCTCCACATTCGACTCTGCCGCAGCTCTTACAGGATTGCATAAAGCCAGTTGCTGATAAAACTGGATATACTGAGTTCTGTCGCGAGTATCTAGACCATGTCGTTGCTCCCATGCCTATCTCTGCTCATGGGACTCCGATACCGATTGACAATCTGGACCCAAGGATATCCGAGATGGTGCTACAACTGGCACAAAAAGATGATCAGATGAAAGAAGTCTCTGAGCCTAAGATCTTCCTCCCAATCTTGTTGGAAAACACACAAAGGGGAAGTGCCTGGGAGCAGAGCACACCAATCCGACAGCTGGCATACACAATCGCTCGTTGGCTCATTCCCGGACCATCCTCAGCCGTGCAGGAGTATCGCCGTGTCAACACCACGGTGCAAAAAGGACGACAAGCTATTATGCTATCCGAAGGAGAGGCAAGAACCTGCGCGGAGAGACTTACGAGGCTAATGGCCACGATCAAACTACGGACTCGGAATGATACAAATCTGGCATGGCATGTAATTTGTTTGGCCCAGGATATCCGATATTGTCACGAAGAGGGCAAACAGTCACACACACTGCAGACACTAGAGACGAACTCACAGAAGCCGCTGCTCAAACGGGTTTCTTGGGATACCATTCACTTCACGGCGCACCTACAAGCGGCCTATTACTCATTCCGGCTTTTAAAACAAGTTTTATCGCTTGGACAACCCAAAAAGGTTTTGCCAGAGTTATGGGATATGATATCGTCACTACCACCTCTAGCGGAATGCCCTGATATCAACAGTACGCTTGAATTGTTACAAAATAGCAATGAGACACGAATTTATGAAGCAATTGCCAAAGCTGTGCCGTTGCCCAATGTCAATGTGGGCGAAAAGCCGAAACGGACAGCGAAGAATAAAAAGGGAAGGATTACCAAGGAGAACTCGCCCAAAACGAAAGCAAGAGTCACAAAGTCTGGAACAAGGAATATGTTTGATCTTTTGTCTCATGATAGTTGATGATGTGGATTATGATGCTAAATTCTACCGAGAGATTGAATACACCGCCACTGATCCTGTGCGATATCCGTAACATGACGACCGTCTGATTGTAGTGACTGATCCCACCAGATCCATGAATTGCAGTTGGCTTGAATGTTAAACCGTACAGCCATGTCTCATTGCGCCGCCACCGAACCTAACCCACCCGTATTATCGTACATCATGTGGAAGATACTCATACAATCATTGGTTCCTAGTTTGATCAAGCCCATGGATGTCATCCAAAAGCAGGGACAACGGACTAACATCTTCTTGAATGTCGTTCATATCCCGAAGCAAACTCTCCTGCGGGCTACCATTGCCCGTAGACTTAATAATCCTCCATGCCCGACGGAACTCATCCCGTATCGAAACAATCCCGTTGTGGGTGACAGTTCGAGCGACGTTATGATCTAGTTCGAAGGGATCTTCGATAGCAAAAAGATAACGGTGGCGAACTTCTTTGAATTCAGCATTCTTGACTGCTCCGTTAGCTTGCTTGGACTGTGTTGCTGCCTCCTTTCCAGCGGGCTCCTTGCCATCCGATGTCGTTGAAGCTGTTTGTTCGGACTGAGGAGGAGGATGAGCTCCCACGTTTTGAGCTTCAATGACTGTCTTGGCGCCTGTCCAACCTTTATCTTGCTTCGTCTGCAAGCCGCCAGGTGTACGAAGGCTGAGAACATCTCTACCCCAATCAAATCCTCTCCCGGTGGAAGTACTTAGCATGCTGCTATGGGCATAATATTCGAAGAAGCCTCGCAGGAGATGCCCGATGGTGTCATTGTTCCTAGTGAGCTGGTTTGCACGAGCGAGACGGAGGATGTCTTCTTCGTTGCGCCAAAACTGAACGTTGCGGCCCCGACAGCTTGTCATGTTCTCAAACTCAACAGGCGAAAGCCCTGGAGGAAGAGGCGGGCTGAACAACTGCAGGTTGGGGCTGACAAAGGGGTCGGCGACATTGACCAGGTAGTGAAGAACCATTAAAACGTAGCCATAGCTGCTGAGTGTACCGCGGTAACCAGAGTTGATGCCTCGTATCTTTGCCCAGTGCTTCACGAATAAGACCATCGGTCGGACACGGGGGTCGGTGTGAGAATAACAGCGTAGAAGAGCCGTATTATGGAGAGCCAAGTGTGCCGAGAAGTTGATGTCGCATTGAACACCTGCGCCAGTCTTGGGGAACTCCAAGTGATCTTTGTAACGATCGCGCGGCTGATTGGGGGCCATCTTATGTGGATCGGGCAACTGGCGAATCCTCGCTGCAAGGTCTAGCGTACTTGGTGTAAGGGGAATCGAGAATTCGTTACCAAAGTCAAAACTGTCGGCCTGCTGGAACGGCGTTCGGAGCAATGTAACATAATCTTTGATGTCTTGAACCACATCGTCGTCGTACAATTCCTTATCGAGCGCTCGTTCAAACTCCCATGCTAGATGTATGCTCTTGTGGAGAAGGCCGACGCCTCTGAGCGTAGGAGTTTTGGGACATGTGGCTATGAAGCTCTTTAATGTTTTTCGTGTATCCTCTTGATGAATTCCAGACACATACTGGCTGATCAGTATCTGTGTCCACTTTGACGAGACTTCCTGGTTAGTAGGATTCAGGCCGTTGAAGATGTACAAAGCTCTTGTGTAGTAAGACACTGGTGTCTCATGCTGACCCTGCTCCAGAATCACAAACTGCACAGAGGGGGCTTTTTTGAACTTATCGAGGGCCAGTTGAAGCTCCTTGGTGTGGGAGATTGGATCAAGACCGAAGTTCTCTTTGTATTGGGCGTCTTCCAAAATTTGCAATGATTGTTCAGTGAGGAAGTGCGAGGGTTGGCTTCGCTCTTCTACACCACTTTCCTCCCACGACATCCGGATTTGCTCACCCTCAACCTGGGTATATACGGCAAGCAGGGAGCGTTTGATGGGCGGGTTTGTGTCATTCGAGAATTGGAGAGACGGGTATCTGCTCAGGCGATCTTGGAGGCGTGCATCTGAAAGACCTGCAATGAAAGCTTCGCTGACCCTGTTTAATAAATCCCAGTCTTTATCCACGAACGAACGGTAGTTCGAAATCGTCACATCATGACCACCCGCCCGACGGAGAACTCGTTTGGCTAAGCCATAGTATGAGGAGAGGGAATTCTTTGATCCTTGTTTGAGCTCAATCACCTGAGATTCCTCATGGGCAGCATCTGGGGAGACAGACTCAGGAGCGGTGGATTCTTGGTTTGGAGCCTCTCTAGTTTGGTCTCGACTGTTTTCTTGATCATGAGGTGCTGTGTGCTGGTCGTTTTCATCATCATCGTGACCCTCATGAACTTCGTCCAGTCCATTCTCCCATCGAAATCGTTCTTCTAGAAGACCTTGCCGGAGCTTTTCTGGTGGAGACTCGCATAACTTGATGATTGGAACTCTAGTGCGAGTGAGGAGCCTCGCGCCCAGGCCAGCCTCCAATAATGCCTTTTCTAATAAACGCGGGATAGGAGAGCCTGGAGCGTCGGGTTGAGTGGCTGACATAGGGGAAAGTAGTCCAAGATCCATGTCAGAGGCCTTTGTCGCAAATCCGGAAGACAGACTGCCGAAACATTTGAGTTCAACTGAGAAAGGGTGGAATTCGGCCTCAGGCATTTCCTTCTTCTCGTGGGTAGCGATTACCTCTCGGCTGATGGCTTCGATACGGCAACGGAAGTCTTCCTTCTCTGCGATTTCCGACCTCTCGATCTCGGAACTAGTTACGACATCAAAACACAATTGGTCGAGTAGAGCGGCCTGGGCTGCAACCTCTTCAGGATGAAATTGAACGGCACGCCTAGCGTTGTATAGATGGCCGCCACCTCGATTTTGCTGAGCGAGCATGGAATCTTGGCGGCCATGGTTGGGAGGCTGATAGTGATCATGTCCACGAGGTCTGTGTTGCTGAGGACCATTCCATGAGCGATGCGGTTGTGGGCCACCCTGACGGTTCTCATTGTAAGTACCCCTTGACTGGCTGTCAGCATGCTCATGTCGCTGATAGGACTGGGAGGGCCTTGAATAATGAGCCATTGGGCTGTGGTAACTTCTGTTTTGGGGCTGTTGTTGAGCTCGAGGGTCAATAGAAATTGAAAGCTGCGAGCTCATCTGACGTCTTTGTGCTTGGTTCATTCGTTTACGGGTTGGTTTGGACGAATTAGAAGCACTTTCAGACGCTCCTGTTTGAGCACTACCGTTGTCTATGCCATGCTGAGAGACTGGGGCATGCTGGGAGGAAGTATTGGGCTGTGGGCCTTGTGATGGCGTGCCATTGGAGATGATGAGGTTGCGCAGATGGTTCTCAAGGCCTGGAGGGGCAGGGCCCTCTGCTGGAGGCTCGTGAAGATGAGGAACCATGGTGGGCTTAGACATAAAGGCTCTTGTTGTTGCAGCTGCCCAGGGTCGGTTGTCTTGTAAGAGGATTGACTAGGGATTGAGTAATTGCATTCCGTCTGTGCAGCTTCCTTAAAAGAAACTATCTTGACTTAAGTTTTTCCTTCAAATTCAAAATGCATAAAGCAAAAAGAAAGAAAGTAAAAACCAGGAGCTGCCGTATGGACTGTGATTGCGCTGGGTCTTCGTGATTCTGCTGAATCTGAGGGAGGGGTCTGTCAAGCAAACACAGGCATATGACTTAGCGCACAGCTTCGCCAAATGGAAGAAGTTATGCAGGTTGGGAAAGAATGGAAGAAAAAAACAATATGAGTTCCGGAGAGTTTTTTGGTCGACAAAGATTTAGATCAGGGCGATACAGCCATGCAAGATGATGATGAAGCTTGCCTGGTGCGATCTCCACAAAATGCAGCTATGCGATCACTGCTCAGTATGTACTACAGTAGCGTCTAGTTGGTGTCGCACTGTCCAATCAGTAGCAGTCCCACTAACTGACAGTGCTGACCATCAGTAGCACAAGTGCATTATACAGTCAAAATATTGTTCAAGCACTGTACAACAACAGTCAGTGATTCACATATATCAACAGTCTTTATTTATTTATTTGTTCTTGCACCTTTGTTATTACAGTGCGGAGGCTTATTGCAGATTTAAGATAACAAAGAGGGGCAATCAAAGTAAATGTACTACCAACAAGCTCATGAAGCAGCCAAAGTTGACAATTAGTGGCTGAACGTCTCTTTCTGGATGCACAGCCACATGTCTGCCTCTGCAGCCTTTGTCATCGTCATAACCTTACGGTAGGCACTATCCACCTAGGCTACAGGCGCGCTGGTCTCGACGATTATCTTTGTTCGTGCATCCTCTTTGTCAATAAAAGCAAAAGGGCTCCTTCCTCGCACCCGCGCCTCGCTACTCTCGACCGCGTATACTTAGTACCGATAACAGAAGCTGTCTTAATTTCTATCGATATCGCATACTTCCGAACAGTCACGCTATTGTCGCCAACATGAGCGCGCCGCCGCCTCCAGGTAATCCACCTGCCAATGCGCCGCCTCGCCCAAATGGCTCCTCGAGGAACAAGAAAGCCAATCCTCTCCGGCCGATGCGAAAGAAGCCTGCCAACCCTATGGTTTCCAGAAGGCCAGCCCCCGGACCTGCAGCACCATCTGGTTCAGGCACACAGAATGGAGCAAAGCCAAACATTGAAGAAATTCGAAGACAGAATGGAGGATGGTCAGAGCCACCGCCGGCAACATACAGTGATATTCCCATCATGACAACGAAAAAGGCTCTCCTCGATGGTATACGTTACCATATGATGAAGTTCACCCAATCGAGAGTGGGCGACAGATCGATAGACCCAAGCGACCAGGATGATTTCGCACGACCTGTAACATTACACCGGCGAGACGCTCGCCAGCCACCTCCTGGAAGAGCTGTCAAGGTTGAAGCGCCTGAGGCACCGCAACCAGACGAGCAAGAGGCAGAAAGGATGGCACAAGTCAAGGCGGAAAGAGAGGCCCAACGCGCAATTGACCAGGCAAAGATAGCACCTGTAGCTAAGGACCCGAATCCTAAACGACCAAAGAAACAGAAGGAAGATAAAACCACTTTCAACAGGGCGCCCAAAACAGACGCTGCTAAGAAGGAGTCCGATCTCCGATATGAAGAGGCTCTTCCATGGCATCTTGAGGATGCAGATGGCAGCAATGTATGGGTCGGCAACTATGTCTCAGCGCTTTCCGAATCGAACGTCGCGTTCATGATCGACCAGTCAGTCTTTCGCATGGTACCCTTGGAGAAATGGTACAGGTTTACTTCAAAGCCCCCATTCCAACCTTATACAATCGATGAAGCCGAAGCTCTCATGACCAAAAAGGTAGCCGTCGCTCGGTGGGCTATGAAGAACGATGAGAGAATGGCAGAGCAAGACGACAAGGTAGAAACTCGAAAAATGTTCTACGGAGGTGGCCAAATGATCAAGACGGAAAGCGCCACGTTCAAGGCCGCGTCGCGATCAGAGAAACTTGATCATGACGATATTGACTTCTCGGGTGACGAGTTCCAAGACGACGACGAGACACCTATGTTTGAAAAGAACAATGATGACGAGGATGCCAAAGATGCCAAAGACCGCATCCGACGCGAGCAGCTTGGTGCCAACTTGTTTGGAGATGGTAACGAGCAAGAAGTTGACAATGAGTTGAAAGAACAACTTAAAGAAGACGAACTGCGGCGGGAGCTTGGCAAAACAACCAAAAAAGCGCTCATCAAGCGGGATCAAGAGAATATCTACGAAAGTGATGATTCTGCAGAGAACCCCTGGAGCAGCTCGGTAAGGTGTTTCACATACTTATAAGCAGGAAAAAGCTAACCGATGTCAAGTCTGACGATAATTCATCCGATGAAGAAGACGAGGAGAAGAAGGAGGAGGAGAAGAAGGAAGAAGAGAAGAAGGAAGCTGGCAAGGACGACAAGGCTCAAAGCGGCTCTGGTTCCAAGGGCACCAACACCCCATCGGGAAAGAAGCCTGAGAGCTCCAAGAAGGGCAAATCACTCAAAAGAGCCGGCTCTCCAGCACTCTCGGAGTCTAGTGGAAACGAGTCTTCTCGAAAGAAGCTCAAGAAGAACGTCACATCTGCTGCGGCTAGCAGGTCTGGTACTCCGTTGCCCCAAGGAGCAGCCGCGCGCCGAGCTATGGGTGCCGGATCTGGTAGCGACGGCGAGGCCACTGCTGGCGAAATGTCAGATGGTACTATGGGCAAGAGGAAGTTGAAGCTGGTTAGCCACAGCGCTCGAGGCACTCCCTCGGCGTCTCGAGCTGGCAGCCCTATTCCACAAGGTGGTGAGTCTCCGGAATGCTTACTTTCAAACGAAAATAGCTAACACTTCATTTTAGCCGCTTCTCCTGGATCTCCTGGAGGGTCGATCGTTGAACCATCCGAGATTCTGGACAAGATTCCCCCCGAGGGCATCGCTATTAGCGAACTCATCAAGGCCTTTAACCATCGCTTGGGCGACCGACCTGGCCAGATGCCCAAGAGCGAATGGATTCAGTTGGTCAAGAAACTTTGCGACTATGGGAATGACAAACGACTCCGTCGCAGAACTTGAGTGACAAGATACCCTGCTATGTAGGGGGATGTTATTATGGTTCTCTCTGAGGCCTCGAGACCTCGTAGATGTACTTTGGGATGCGATTGTGGATAGAATTCACACATCCAACACATCAAGATCGTTACAACAGACGCAGTCGGGTTGTAAAGTGCTAAGAAAAGGGTATATAATTAGAATATTTGTATGAAACGTTACCCGTCTATTCGTCCATCTGCCATGAGTAACTCAGTCCCTTGTTCCGCTCTTTGCGATTAATCGCCTTGAACCTCTCTGCCTCAAATCCGTTGCCACGATCAACACCGTCCCAACGATAGCCTGGCTTGATTCCATAGCGATTTGGAGGCGCTGCACCAGCGTATACGGGCTTGCGTTTGGATTTTTTCCCTTGCCCTTTCCCTGAATCTTTCTTCTCGCTCACAAATTGCATCATTGGATCGTTCCAACGGTCCTGTTCCTTCAGTTCCTGATTCATTTCTTCGTCGTCAGCTGTGCGAGCAAATGACATAAGTTTGGCATCTTGAAGCTTCTCGCGTCGTTTGCGAGCCTCTTCAAGCTGCACGTCGCCCTTGAGAGCTTTCTTGGCAAGTCGTTCTTTCTCTTCGGCATCGGCAGCTGCACGTCGCGCTTCGGCGCGCTTCATAGATATGTCGATTCTTCGGCCAGTGGCATCCCGGTATACTGTTTCTTCTTCCTTGGCTGATTTGCGGTGCCTTTCAAACTCCTCACGTTCCTCTTTCTGCCGTCGCTTGAGCTGCGCTGATACGGTCGCTGCGCTTTGCAATCCTGCATGTGTTCCATCGCTCATTTTGACAGCCGAACCATCATCTTCCACCATTGGCATGTCTTCGTCTTCATCGCGTGCTGCATTCTGCTCTGCTGCCGCCGATGCTAGAATCGCGTCTGCAGCAGCAGCAGAATCATCCTTGGGAGTCGCGTCGCCCCCTAATGATTTCCAGTTACTCTTCTTAGTTTTTCGAAACTCTGAAGATTGCCCTGATACTGTAACCGGACCATCAAGATCTTCATCGTCGTCTTGCGCATTGGTGTTGCCCCAACCCGAGTCGTCATCGTCTGTTATAAGAAGGCCGTTGTTGGCTTCGGCGCCACGCTTGCGTTTTCGTTTCTTGGCTGGTTTTGGGTCCGCGACTAGATATTTCGAAGCCAGATATGCCGATAGATCTGAAGGCATTGTGATTTTTATCATGCAATGACAAGTATTGGTTTTCTATAAGCTTTGCCTTGAAGCTGTATTGGCTTCAAATTATACTTATGCAGTTACCGAGTATTGCTGGCGTCGCCCCGATAAAGAAATCTGGAGGTAGACGATGCGCCAGGGTCCATCCAATGAGTCCACCTCACCATGAGGTAAGGGTACGTACCGTTATCATGTCCCAAGTTTCCACATTGCCCAACCTTTGTCGCTAACCAAAGACTCAAGCCTTAGAGTTGCAAGGCTACATCGACAATCACCTGCTATACCGTTCTTTCTAGTAATAGGATCATGCCGGGTCAACCTAGGGTCTTCACAGTCTTCGATTCACCACCTACTTGCGCATCTTAATCCTCCGATCTTACCTACGAATCTATACCTGTCTTGAAACCCCTACCAGTATCCGTTCCACCCTTCGAGATATTGTAGCGAGCTACCGTTCCCTGTCGCCTTCATGCCACAACCTCTCGAAAATGAAGCTCCGACGGAACCGCTTCAGGCGTTGCCAGCAGCTGCGTCTGGCATGAAGTTCACAAAATCGCGACACTCGACCCCTGTTCTAGAATCATTACCATTATCGCAATCTGAAACCAACCTAGCCTTCCGTCGCTCCAACCCGTCTGCTGCTTCCTTGTATGCGTCAACACTTTCACCCCCCGGATCGCGATCCATATCGCCAGCCGGTCGAGGCTCGCCTGCTCGAGTACTCTCGCATACCGTCTTCGATGCCCGGCCTAATCGACTCCCCGAGACCGGGGGGGACGCTTCCGAACCTCTAAATCTAATGCTCCGGGCATTCGTTCCCCACGTCTCGATCTATACTTCCGAAGATACGGAGAGTTTGATGGTGGAGAAAGGCTTCCGAGGTGGCCTTTGGGAACTTTTGCGCCCATTTGGCGAAGATGTCCAAGGCAAGGTCACGATAAGGGACAGTAACGGCATGAGCAGAGTAGCAGATGGGTTTTCTGTCCGGTTTACACGATTCGGCGACAACATCGAGCATCCCGATCCTACAGTCTCGGGCTTCAGAAGTCCCTCATCGGCCCAGGGGCAGAACGGCAGTCAAGCAAGCACATCAAGGGACAAGCAATTCCTCACCGACGTGGAGGCTGTAGTGGACAGGCATTTGTCCTACGCTGAGCAATCTTTTGCTGTTTTACCGCACTATGGCATGTTTGCGGATCAAAATACAGCATCGGAAGAGACCTCGCCATACTATGCCCTTTATCTACGCCGATTGCTATCAGGTCTTCCCATTTCGCCTCACGAAACATTTTCACATCCAGTAGCATGCGTAATAGCTGTCAGCTCGAGAAATCCTGACCCCATTTCGGAGATGAGAAAGCTTTACACAGAAACGGTCGAAGGGAGTAAAAGGCTTCCTCCTTGGGTTGATAGCGAATTTATTCGATACTATGTGCTGGTTCACGACGAGGAGAAAGATGACATAATACAATCCATGGCTGTATTCGAACAGATGAAGAGGCACCTTGGAATTCATTGTCATCTTCTTCGTTTGCGAAGTAGTCAGAGCGCTGAGACCGATGATGAAAGTATTCCACTACCCCGCAGCGACTGGATGTCGGCTCATGAGGAACTTGAGGATATACGACAAAGCGAAGACGATGAGGACTTTGAGGACCCAACACGCTACATATTTGAATCTGATGCTACTGCCATCCGTACATTTGTGCGTGAGATGGTGACCATGTCCATCATACCTCAAATGGAACGAAATGTCTCTATTTGGAATGACCAAGTTGCGTCAAGACGGAGAGGTATCACTGGTCGATTTATGAATTTGTCGAGGAAGTGGGCATTCGGCGGCAGCTCTAGGAACTCGACGGGTGGTACCAGCAACTCAAGAGACAACTATAATGCTGCTGGATTCTACGGATCAGAAGCCCCTGAGGCTATTATGCGGAAGCTGGCAGATTATGCCTTCATGCTACGAGACTGGAAACTAGCGCATTCAACGTATGATCTTTTAAGATCGGATTTTAGCGATTCCAAGGCTTGGAAACATCATGCTGCCGCCAACGAAATGGCTGCTTTCAGTCTTTTGATCTTTCCTCAACAGATGTCATCGAAGAATCGCGCTGAGACAATCGATCAAATGCTCGAGGCTGCCTTCTACTCCTATAATACCCGGTGCAGTGCCCCCTATGGAGCGCTAAGGAGTTTACTACTTGGCCTCGAACTGTTGCGCTTACGGAACGGTACAAATATTGATGATGCCGGCCGATGGGGAGTTAGGCTCCTTGAGTCCAAAATTTCGGGTAACGTGGGTGATGCGTTGATAAAAGAGCGTCTCGCCGTTTGCTACGCTTCCAAGGATGGGGTTGGAAGCTGGCACTGGGGCTCACGCCGCCGCAAATCAGCAACATGGAGTATTCTCAGTGCAGATGCTTGGCTACAGCAGTCCAGGCATATCCAGGCACGGCGTTGCTTAGACGAAGCCCACAGAATGTACGCGAACTTACCCCATAAGGAGGGGATTACCAAGTTTGGGGCAGCGGGCCACTTCATGGCTTCATTGCAGCACAGCTTGGCCGAGTCACCAGACGCTTCAGATAACGGCAGTGAAGATGGAGGGGATGGCAATATAGATGAGGAGAGCGAAGCGTTGAATGACATGAGACCGCGACGGGCGAGTACGGTGACAGCCGATATGTTTCGAGATACGACCAAGGAGGAAAGCAGCACCACGGATGATGGTACATAGATTATTACAATGGACAGCAATCCAAAGGCAGTCTTCTTCATATGTGCAGCCAATCTTATCCTATGTAACTGAACAGTTTCAGAGCCATGCCATCCTTTATCCACATCAGGAGGGCATATCTCGTCCATCGACATAACAATCAAGAGCTCAAGAATTCTAATTAATTACATACTTCTATCTAAACTAGTGAGAAGGTTTTTTCCCACTGTATCAATACAACGCAGGTCTTTTTTCCGTGCTCGTATATTAGACTTCGTAATTCAGGATATTGCATTTCCAATGCTACGACAGCCAAAAGTATTGCCAGGCTCTTACTGTACTTTCCTAAAAGGCATATGCCCCAGAAAGATCCAATAACATCTATTTGGCTGGATCACGACGACGAGTAGCCTCTTGTGCAACAACTGAGGCTCTTTGTTCAGCTATCAAAAGGCGCTTCCTGCGAAAGGCACCAAATGCAGAGATGACAGAACAAGCCGCAACAGCTGTTGCCACCTTCATTTCTACATTGAATGCGTCAGCGTAGGTGAAGCGAACAGCCGACCACTGTTCGTTGGAAAGCGGAGTGGCGGAACTGCCGATTGTCGCCTGCTCATAGGGAGTTAGAATGCTGACAAGATATTGTGAGCTCTTCTCGTTGAGTAGAGCTGATGAAGTTGCAATGCCCAAGCTACCACCCAACAGTCGTACTTGGGACAGGATGCCTTGTGCAGGGGCTGAGAACTGTTAGTACATGCGGTAACTTGCAATTCAAGTTGTGTCACTTACCGTAGTCCCGAATAGGTACTTCCACCATTGATAACATAGTCGACGAAGCGACAGTCAGTCCGAAACCAATTCCACAGAACGTCATGTAGCCAAGCAACTTAGCATCCTCTGACTCATGCGACAGGGAAGAAAGTAATCCGCAACCAAGCGTCATGAAACAAGAACCAACTAACAGCGACTCAAAAGTGTAATTCTTCGTGTTGTTAATCTTTCCTGCTACTACACTGCCAATGGCAGAAGCTCCAAGCATAGGAAGCAACATGACGCCAGAAATAAGGGCAGACTTGCCGCTAACAACTTGGAAGCGAAGCGGGATTGCATAGATGAGTAGCAAGTAGGGGAAGCCGTTAAGAAGCGTATTGACGACTGCAGTTGAGTAAACTCTGTTTTGAAAGATGTTGACTGGAAATGCGGGAGCGAATCGACCGTGCCAGCGGTGTTGGATGAATATTTGCCAAGACACCAGTAGTGCGCAGGCAAGCAAACCACATATCAAAGGCGCAATGAAGATGGCAGTCTTCCAGCCTTGGTTTGATGGTTCAGTCCCAGCATTCTGAAAAGAGAAAACAATAAGTACTGCGGCGGCGATTGCGAGGAACGATCCGAGAAAGTCGAGTTCCTTCCAAGCTCGTCGTTGTTGAGATGGTAGGTACTCAGCTTTGGGCCAGGCGAGGACGAATACTGTAAGAGATACAAATCCTATGGGTCCGCTAGATTTATTTTGTTAGCCACGTACTTATGAAGTAGGGAAAAGTCATACTTGATCCAAAAAACCCATCTCCAAGAAGCGTAGTGTGTCAGGATACCGCCAAGAACAGGTCCAAGAACCCCTGAAACGGTAATGACCAAACCGACCATGGCCGCCATATGTTGCTTCAGATTGTCGGGACTCAACTCTGGCATCATGATCATGGTAAGAGCGTACAAGCCTAGTTTGATTAGACCTGTGAGCCATAGAGAAGCGTTTTCATACGTACCTGAGCCACCAACGCCCTGCAAGGCACGAAAGGCAATGAGCTGGTTGAGAGTATGGGCAAACCCACACGCCAAAGAAAACACAAAGAATATTATGTAGGCTGCAATGAAGGCATTACGACGCCCAACAATGTCAGATATGCGGGCAAAGACAATAGCACATCCTAAATAAGCCAGTGTATAGGCGAGAGCAACCCAGTTGACATCTTCCAGAACTTCAAAGTCGACACCGATACTATGAAGGCTGGTAGCAACGATAGACGTGTCGATCATGGATAGAAAGAGGCCCAGAAAGACACTTGATAGTACATGTTAGTAAGATATGGATGGGAAGAATAGTGGCTATCACGTACCCAACACACAGGGTCCAGAAGCGAGCAGGCGGGATCGAAGGCTCTCGTAGCTCATCGCAAACAGAGCTCTGGGCAGAAGGATCTGTCTGGGAGGCACAGGCCACTGCTGGTTTGTCGTCGCTTTCGGAGTGCATGCCGTTGTTCTTGACTTCTTCGTCCATTACGACGTCCAAAAATGGTGACCAAAACGGAGATGACCAGACCAAAATAGGGATGAAAAAGGTACTAAGGCATAGAGAGAAATCCAATAAATTTTGTTGTTTGCGAACGGATGATGACAGTTGCAGCACAGCCGACAGGTGATGAACCCGCCAAGGGTGGATTGTAGAAAACCGAATCAGCGCAGTGGCTACCCGTAATTCGTTATGATATTCTGTTTGTTAGGAAACGCCGTTTGATATAGCATCATTTGTCACCAATATGATTGAACTAGAACATGGCATATATATTTATATGAGTTGGGAGATGAGTATCGACAAGTATATCCGTAGACATGAGGAGTCATCGGACTCGGCTAACGGTACATAGCGCATTGCATATTAAGTAACTGCATGTCCTGAAATGCGGACTTTATGGGCATCATCGAAACGATAATTGGAGAATAATATTGTCTCTGGGTGTCAGGCTGAGCAATTGATAGTGTAGAGGAGCTAGAGGAAGTCAGCTCGGTCGTTGTGGTGGAGTGAAGACGGCCCACTCTCGCATTTCGCACTCGCTTACTAGTAACTCCTGCTTGTTCATTGGTGCATAGAATCGTGGATGCGTTGCAGAGTGAGATTGGACTCATGGAGATGCAGTCCAACGCTAGAAAGGAAAGGGAAATGCATTCGAAGAAACTGAGAAATACTCAGAGTTCCTGATAGAAATCACTAGCTCTGTTAGTAAAGTCCGTTTTGTTTTCAAGATGCCGTTTACTTAAACACCGACCACATATGCACATATGATTGTCGTCGATGTCGGAGATGCTCCTTTTGACAGCAGGAGTTGAATCCTCGATCTGGAGTTTCTTTCTTAAACAACATCCTTCCCTGTATTCTGTGAGACGCTTCCTGTTTCCTCTGTCATAGGTCTTCTTCATTGAGCCTCAGACGGAATCTAGGATTAACAACCCGGCAGGCATTAGCTTGGGGCATGTTCTTGGATTATTTACTCTACACACAAGCTTCAAGTCCAAATACTCCAAAGTAGTGGTTTTATCTTTTCTTTACCAATTTCTAGATATATTCATGGAATGCTGAAATAAAACACCTACAGTGCAATGTAGTTGTCACTCTTGAGCTATAAACTGATCTGCTGTAAACATTTACACCAATCATAAGCTCCATTTCTACAAGCTCCCCACTTATCAGCTACCAAAGCGTGACGTAGCGCAGTTACCTTCACAGGCAGACAGGCACCTGCCTCCTTATGATTTGGTCGATACTCGGCGCCTACCAGTTTCGTAGCTGTAGGCAAGGTAGCTTACCCCAGTATCCGACATCTTCAACACCATCACCATCATTACAATTGATCTCCAAACAGCTTGATTATGGCCGATGTCATGTCTCAGACTCCCCCAATCCTTCACGGTCCATCCGAGAAGGAGCGGAAGTATGATCGTCAACTCCGCCTATGGGCTGCGTCTGGCCAGGCTGCTTTAGAGTCGGCAAACATTCTACTTGTTAACTCTGGCGCTGGCACTGTCGGTGTCGAAACCCTGAAGAATCTCGTGTTACCTGGTATTGGTCAATTCACCATCGCTGATAAGAGTGCCGTGGGTCAAGAAGATTTGGGCGTCAATTTCTTCATCGATGATAGCTGGCTCGGCAAGTCAAGAGCTGAAGCTTGCACCAACTTTCTGTTGGAGTTGAACCCAGAGGTGCAAGGCGAATGGTATCCGAAAACCGAGGTAGGATATTTATTCGATGGAAACAAGATACAGTTCCGCTAACATGTCGTAGGGGGACTCTTTTAATCTCGAAGCATTTCTCAGTGACTCACCTGCTTTTACCATGATCTTATACGCTCTGCCTCTACCCCAGGATCAGGTCCAGCTCATACAGAACTATTCCCAACAGCACAATATTCCTACAATTGCAGTGCATTCTGTGGGATTCTACTCTTATTTCAAGTCTACATTGCCTGGAACATTTCCCATTGTCGACACTCACCCTGATGAGACTGCCACCACCGACCTTAGACTCCTTGCACCCTGGCCTGAGCTTGTCGAGTTTTCAAGGGGCATGACCGAGAATATCGACACTTTAGACAGCCACGAACATGGACACCTGCCCCTGGTGGTTATTCTGCTTCACTACCTTGAACAATGGCAGCAGACACATGATGGCGCCAACCCTACCAGCTATGCCGATAAGACATCGTTCCGCAAGACCGTGTCTGAAGCTATGAGGACCGACAATCCAGAGGGAGGCGAAGAGAACTTCGAGGAGGCTGTGGCTGCTGTCATGAAGCATGTCGTGACACCATCACTGCCAAGCTCTCTCAAGCAGGTCTTTGACTATATACATCCTGCAAGTACGCAACAGATACATGTTAGTTACTTCACTAACCGTATTTAGGAGGAAATCAAGTCTAGTTTCTGGATCATCGCAGAGGCAGTCAAACGCTTTTATGCCAAGCACAGCAGGTTACCTGTGCCCGGAGGATTGCCTGATATGAAGGCCCAGTCCAGCGTGTACATAAAATTACAGAACATCTATAAGGAAAGAGCCCGTCGGGATGTTAGCCAAGTTCTTGAAACTGCCCGGAGCATTCCTGGTGGCGAGGATGTGGATCCTGAGCAAGTCGAACTCTTTTGCAAGAATGCTCGCTTCATAAAGCTTATCAACTCCCCCGAGGAGAGCACAGTCAAGCTTGATCAGGTTGTCGGTGAGTAACCCCTCTCTATCGTTAATGGCTCATATACTAACAATCAATTTGTAGAGCAGCAACTAGCCAACGATGAGATGGCGGCTGTTGCCGGCCCCGAGATGCCTCTGTCTCTGATCCCACTTTACCTATCCCTATTGGCGACATCAAACTCGACAACAGCCACTGCAGACGAGATCATGGCTTTCATCAGCAGCCATGCACCCCAGGCTGCTGATAACGAACGCTACAAGAAGACTGCACAGGAGTTGGAAAGAGCTGCCGGCGGCGAACTTCACAACATATCAGCTCTCACGGGTGGTATGGTTGCGCAGGAGATGATCAAGATCATCACGAAGCAATACGTTCCGATCGACAACACATGTATCTTCGACGGTATCGACAGCCGCTGTCAGGTTCTTCGCCTGTAAGTTCAAGGTTCTGGGAGGGGTTATTGTATTGAGGCCAGATAGACACTGCTACGCAAGAACAAAGATCATTGCAACGATCCGAACAAGCTGTTTGTTGAAAGGAAACTGTGGCAAATCATGACTTGACAAAATGATAAACAACGGAGAAAGATGTCACTCAGCAACTTTGGAGATGATGAGGGGCGTCCTGGAGTATCCAAGTCTTGACCCCCCGTGGCGGTTCCCTAGAACGACACCAAGATGCATGTTCTACATCGCGCGCCCTTCTTGACCTCGACCATGCTCTTGCCACGGCCAAGATCAAAAAGATGTCATATCCATAACAGATCGAGTAAGTCAGACACAGAACCGGCATGGGCAAAAAACATACAACAGCGGGGATTCGCTGGTCGTCACCGACCCAACTACTAATCCGCCGGTTAGTGGCTTGACTAAGGGAGAGCGGACGGGATCCCGTATTTTCCACTACCTGTGGTCGTATGTGCTGGAGTTGGCGATACTTTGCCTCATGATTATGATCTCATGCATGTCCGGCGTTGAGATGTCCGGGATGCCTCCCGACGTTCCTAACAAGTTCATGTTTGACTACCGAGGTGGGTAAGAACGCGTCAAGTCGTACTATGGAGAATAGTAATCTTTTCTTTGAAACCTTGCATCTTCTCAGTCTTATTGTACTCTAAGCGCTCGTCATCAGCACCCTAGTGGTGATGGTTAATGGAGAGCAAGGGGGCAAGAGATGGTCTCAGCAAACATGTCATCTTGGCATCCCAAGGCAAGGTTCGATGAGCCACTTCTGCAATACCGCTTGAGTAAGAGATATCTATTAGACTTTGGATGTCTATGGAGTCGTCGACAAAGCGCGCAATTATTAAAGTTTTGCCTTTCGCTAAAAATACGGGAGTTGCAAGCTTCATGACTCGGGAGAGGTTATACAAGTGGTTTCTTACCTTGACAGCTTGGCTATTGCCGGAAGCTTTTACGCATTCTTGAGGATTTCAATTTTGCCGGAAACTCTCTCCTGCATCTGTCCGAGATAGTTTGAGTTGTGGAGTTAAGTCGATGGGCGTTTGTCGGCGAACCGTGGCTCACGCCATGCATGCCTCTGAACTTGACCGAACTCAGGGGATCTGCCCGCAACTGTCAAATCACAACGTCTCTTGCAAGTCATAGGGCTATGGAAATATCCTATCATTGCTCGTCTCATGCGAAGGAAAAGTGGGAGCATCAACAGAGATGGGATAGAAGAGAGTTGTGTCGGGCCCTGAGAAGCGTTTAGCGGCAAGCGTACTACGACGTTTCAAGTTGATCAACAGTCACATCGGAGACGGATCACGGAACTTTTTACCACTCACCGCTTTACGGCAATACGACGTTTGTTTTTAGACAGTCTGGTGGTGTTGTTTACTTTCTGCTTGTCGTCACAGTCCATACTGCAACTGCTAGGTTGTCGAGACCAGCATTCTGCTTTGCCTTCTGTGTCAGCGATGAATAACATACGTGTACAAGCAGTATTCGAAGGCCAAGACTCCAACAGGGAAGTATCGTCCACTGTTGTACTGGGTATCTAATTCATCAGAGTTTTACCAGGGCAAGATCACAGTACTACCAAAACACTTGACAGGACCCCTATTGCTGCCATGAGTCTCGGCATGGCAGGTCTACTAAAGTATTGCTATAAATTTATGGCCAATCGCAACGCTTGCTCCAAGCAACCGATCTTTTGTGCATATTGAGAGCAACAAACTTGACAATCATGGCTTTGATGGGCTATAGCCCAAGTGCTGTATAGGTCTAGATAGGTAGGTACAGAGTAGCATGATGGGCTCTGCCAAGTTGTGGACTTGACGTACTCCGATCACAGACATGGATAGTGCGACATTAAGCGAACCCGGACGAAAACTCCGGCATGAATTTTGACCGGCTCTACTACATAGCACGTTCAATCATACGCTCTGGCACCGAAAGATGGCGGTTACCAGTCTAAACGAGTGCCATTCAAGGTTGGATTCGCTTGAATGCCGAATCTGAGGGGTGCTGTCACTACGCCATTAGGCCGTCGTTACATAGGTGCCTAAGCCTAAGCTCAAGGCCCATCCTTGACCCTTTATCAGATCAAGTTACATAGAGTATGGGGTAGTATAACAGAGCTGCCACTATACTAATCCGAGCCGGGGTTGGGAGATTACAGGGGTTGCTAAAGCATTTTAGAAACAGCGATATGATCGACAGACACGCAAAAGGACCGTGGCAGGCTGTCGATTTCGTGCCTATGAGCGATTAGAACCAGGTTCTGTGTACAAGACTAAGACACTTGATCTGGCTGGCGTGCCCGAGATTTCCGAGATGTTCTCCGAGCATGAAGGGTTAAAAATCCTGTTCTGGTATGTAATTCATGATGACTAGCCGGTCACCGAGTCTGAATATCCTCAGCCTCGCTCATCATGGGCGTCAATATTCATGTACACTGTCAGCAAAAGAGGCGAGCAATATCAATAGGGTGTTGGGCGGCTGATGGATGGTTTGGGTAGCTTTGGAGTTGAGCTTATTCTTGTTATAGACAATGTCCGATGTTGAATCCGGTCGAGATGGTCCAGTTTGCCAGCGAGTGACCACGGGTCTACGTGCCGATCGACCGCTTTACAGAGGATAGAATATTGGAAAAAAAGACGACGCAGGCGAGACAACGGCCGCTCGGGTGGCGCTTCGAAGTCCGGAGCGGAGAGTTCAGCGTTGCGCTGTGCATGCATCGGATTCAATCAATGCCATGAGGCTATTCGAATGGCCCTTTGCGACCAGACCCATCTGGCCGGGGTCTTAGCCTCATATCGGCGCGAGGCCGGGCAGCGGGCAGGCAAGAAGACAGTGGTGATGGGTGTCCAAGTGTTCCGATAGAGAGCTCACGTGGAAAACAAGGTCGGTGAATTATACCGGGTCAGTTATGAAGTGGACGAATCTTGGCGATGGGGCCCCAAGGTATAACCTGTGGAGTCTCGACAAAGAGACTGGACCAATGCAACAGTACTGGATACTCGACCCAAGAGGAGACAGATAACCAGTAGGTCGGCCTATTATCCAGCCGGCCACCTTCCCTAGTCGGTAACCAGGGGCCGAAACAGTAACAAAGAGAGAAAACCCGGGGTGCAGATCCTGGAGGTAATTCATGTCATGGCATGGTACGGGCCGAGAATCCTAAATCCTTGACTTAGCCAGAGTTCTTTACTTGTGCTATGCTGCGATGCGCTGTGAGTGGTATGTAAAAAGTCCCCGATGGGTCGATTAATGGATCACACGCGCGATGCGAGACTCGATTCGGTCGAGGTACCCAAAGGTTGTCATCCTCGTAATTGGAAGCATGTGAGCGAGAGATGCGACATATGCTGGTGGTTTGGTTTAATGTGTGTACGGATGCTTTGCGCGGGCAGGTGATGGCGGCTGAGGGCGGGAAAAAAGAAAAAGAGAAATAAAATACAAAGACAACCTAGACAAGGCTATGAATGGTTAATTACCAAGGAAAGACTAAAATCAATGAGGAGGCGAATGGTAACATCGGATGAATACCTGCATGATATGATATAGTCTTAGCGCTTGACGGAAAATAAAACCACTGAATAATAAAAGGCGGAATTAAATGACTGATGGTGGTTTGAAAGACTTGATTTTGAGTCGAGTCTAAAGGTACAGTACTGTAGACTATCTTGTCAAAGGAGAGATAGATCTCTTATACGACCAACATACTGGATACCATATCTCGCTTCTCGACCAACACGTAGTACATACATAAACGCCTCCTTCCCACAGTTTGGTCTGGTCTGGATCAGGTCAATATCTCAACAAGTGGCAACTCGGTTATCAGGTACAGTACCTGCTTGGAGAAATGCCAACTTAACCATAAAAGTTGCCAAGTCCGAAAAAGGAAGCTTGAGATGTGGTTCCTGGATAAATGCAAATTGACAGGGGTTTCGGACAAGGATTGAACGTGATAGGACGAACATCGGCGGCTCGAATGCAGTGAAGATGCAGTCTAATGCACATTGTGAATGCAACACGACACAATATAGTAAAAGGCTAGACCGCTTCTGTCTCTAGTCACTGCATAGAGAGGTTGTCTACTAACCCTTTGATCTTTTTCGTCTGGTGAGCCTTGGTTGCCCCTTGAGCCACCGCATCGAGCCCCAATCACTGATGGTGTTGAACAAAGACAAATGACGATGCTGTACCTTCGGAAATAAGGGAACAACCGCACGCCGAGGTTCTTCAAAGATCCATCCAGGCCCTCCCCGCCTTTGCTTCGTTCATTCATCCATCCATCCACCCATCATTCGACTGCCGTGATTGCTTCGGGCCGCCAAAGCTAATATGCCCTCCGCTATGGACCAGGTTACGTTGGATCCGGATATGAGAGGATGACGGCGGATGCTTCACTAGCCCAGTCTCGACTCGAATCTGATACTCGCAACTTGACATGTTTAATGAAGCATCATCTAATTATCACCTCACTTCTAAATTACCTACAACGTACGTTCTGCCCGGGACCGGCTGTAGAATATCCGCAAAGGCATTGACCGGTTCGGTCTGTCTTTCTCTCTATGTAACTAGCCTCGGGTACCGCAGACGAAATGACTCGCAGGAATTGATCTGTCGTAGAGGTGGCTAAGCAGATCACGTCCCTTGTCGAGCAATATTCTCTGCAAGAGTTTCCCAATGGGTCGCCATGCCCGAAAAAGTGAGAGTCTTCAACACCAAGATTCAAGGACCCTGAGTTTAACCTGCCTTAATTTCACTTTCACCTAACATAGCCACCCACTACCATCCATTACCGCCCCCTCTTCTCCGAGCGAGAACACGTTCCCATGGTCCATGGTCCTTGGTCCTTGGTCCTTGGTCCATGTCGTGTGTGTGTGTGTGTGTGTGCTATGTGACGCTACCCCATACGCTCTGGATCTTCCCCTTCATGGGTTCCTGCAAGGATATAATTCATCCCACGAATCACGAATCCTTTCTCCTGTTCCCCACGATTCATTCGTAGCGTCCGTCTTCTTCTCCGCATTATTCTCAACTGCACTTCTGAGTGAAGACCGGGGTCAGGGGTGGCGCCCTGGCTGCGAGTGACCATGGGGAATGAAAACGAATCGACGTAACATCGTCGCCGCTACTATAACTTGGCACGTCTACTTGGTCAAGCTGCCAGTACTTAAATATGTCGTCAAGCCTTATACACATCTCAGTTGGGGGCCCTTTACATTTCGTGGCTTGCACAGCAGAACACAAGAGGATTATCTTCCCGACTAGCGCAGACCACTCCTTGTCAATCTATCCATAATCATGTCTCCTTCAAGCACCAAGGTTGCCTCTGGCGGCTCCTTTCACACTTGTAAGTCGTCTTCGACTCAAGAGTTTCGCCTCACGATAATTGCATTTTGTCTCTAACATTATCTGATTGTTGCAGTCCAGGGAATTATTCCCAAAAAGCAGCCAGCTGCTTCCAGCAATGCAAGGCCCAGGGTTGCGGGCACACGGCGCATAACAACTCCCCATGCTTGTACCGAGTGTAAACGAAGAAAGATCCGATGCGATGGCAAGCTACCATGTGGCCAATGCATCACAAGCCGAGCACCAAAGAATTGCTCTTACGATAAACACCGTCAAAGAATGATCCCATCTAGAAAGTAAGTGATATGTCAATTCATCTGCGTAGATCTCGACGGCAGTTGGCTAACCTTGTTCTTCCCAGAGCTCTGGATAGCTTGGCTCAATCTCTCGAAGAATGCCGTTCGGTGCTTCGGCGGCTTTACCCAAATCATGACGTTTCTGCACTTCGCTCCCTGGACAAGCAGGAGCTGATCAACCTCTTGGCTCAATCGCAATGTTCTTTCAGCGACCCTCTTCCCTCACCACCTCTCGAATCGTCATTCCCTAAGAGCGGCACACCTATGATGGGTTCCGACTCCCTACTGGAACTACAGACATCCCTAGAAGCTGACCTCGACTCACTCATTGGTGAGCTCGAGTTTGAGGTCCCAGGAGAGCAACGAGCAGCCAGTGAGGAAACAAACTACCTCACACAACAAACCTGGTGGGACTTTGGGTCGAGACAATGGAGCTCAGTATCAACTGTACCTCCAATGATGGAGGGTTCATCGTACGGGCATGATATGATGACTCCAGCGCCACACTCAATGTATGACGATTCACGTGGCCTGTACGGTTCACTGGAGATGAGATGAGATGATATGAGGTGGATGAGATGACGAAAAATGAGCATTACGCGATGTACTTTTATTTTACATGCGATTCCCAAAGCCTGATGGGCCATAGAGGGGCATTATGCACCCTGGGGACGCAGGTCGTTCTCTTAGCCGGATCACAGCTTACGACAATCATATGAGGCCACGACCATTTACTTTCTGCAGCATGCATTTCCAAATACCTACTACTTATTCAAGTACATATCTATATAAATTTCTGCCTTCTATACTTGAATGCCTTTTTATTGGCTTTTCTGCTTCACTTTTGTGGTTGTGAAAAGGTGACAAATGCAAAAACCGGCCGTCCAAATCTGGAAGGCACGGCCATGATGCTACTTCCATGCATACATCACCAGCAGGCCGTTTCTCTCGGTGAGGTTTATCTTTTTCTTTCTTTCTTCTCCACCTCCAACCTCTCTGCTTGATCAAAGGGCATCATTCACAACATCCAGACGCATCGACACCTCCGCTCCAGTGAGAATGGAACACGCACTTACTTGTAATAATCTCAAGTGCCGGCGGGAACTCAGCGACCGTGCCCTGGTGACAACATGCAGGTACGAGTATCTGTCATCAATCAGAAAATCTCTAACATTATACCACTAGTCATATATTCTGTGTGGAATGCGCCCAACGACTCGGTATTACAGGCCAAGATGCCGAGCGCCGTAATACGTGCCCTGCCTGCGAATCACAAATTACAAAGCCCGATGATGCCGTCATCACGAACCTGAATCCAAGTGAAGATTACAAGACCAGCGTTCTAAGTGGTCTAAGTCCCAATGTCATCATGGAGTGTGCCGGTCGTGCCCTCAGCTTCTGGGCCTATCAAACCACTCAGAACATTTGTTACCAACAGCATCTATACAGAACACTCACCGAGAAATACTCGAGCCTCGGCATTCGTCTTGAAAAGACTGTGAGCGACGCAAATACAGAGATTGAAGGTCTTCATCACAAGATGTCGGGTTGGTGTTCTTTTCTGCACAATTCGTAGTACGTCTGTTGACAAGGCAACAGGTCTAGTGGCAGAGCAGGAGAGCTTGAGGCGGAAGCACGAGGAGGTATCCCAAGCATACAAAGAAAAGAGCCACAAAGTTCTACAATTACAAGAATTATATGACAAAGTCAAGAGGAGAGCCGAACTTGGTCAAATTCAAAGGGCAGCATCCGATGCTGTTGACCATACGTTGCAGGCAGCACAGCTCGACCCGGGCTATAGTGGCAATATGACGGCACAAGGCAATATTGAGAACAATCGTGCACCGGTCTTTGGGCAAAGCCACCGGGTTAGCGTCTCTGGGATGAACAACGGTGCCTCGCGAGACTATCACAATATGACAACTGAAGGAAATCAGTGGTCACGGCTTGGAGGGCCATCTCATCGTGAGTCTCTTGCTATTTAACTAATTGAGTACTGATGTAAGAAAGGCGACATCTCCGGAGTGCCTGTTGGTGGGCTTCGCCGACCGACCATGGGTGGATCGACAGTTCATCAAAGCACAAGCTTGCCGGCTCTGACAGGAACGCCTATGACAGGGTTCGGTAGATCAAGGCAATCACCCAACAATTTCGCCCCGGGTTTCATCAATCATCGCGGCGGCTTAGCGGGTGTCGGTTTGACGTCTGGTATCAAAGTTAGTCAGGCGAGCAACAACCCAACACTGGATATTCCTACAAGGCATTTATGAGGGGGCGTAGCACAGATGGTTGACCAAGCCATGTTTTCTTGAACAAAATTGTGGCATATCTTTGATAATCGACAACAATTTCCCGAAGCGCTATGAAAGATGTCAACAGCTTTATCATTACCAAGGTGAGCACACCGTTTAACAATGGGTTGAGCTTATATCACACTTTCTTTGTTCACTCCCAAGCAAACCTACAGCTATTCAAAGAAACATGTACCAAGAACACAGCACATGTTCCTCTTGGAGCCTTCACACCCCCTCTACAGTAGTGGGGGATTTAAATCGCGAATGTATGTAGAGTTGGAGGGTTTTAATATTTCGTTTTCATCACCATCGATGTCAGTAGGCACATACCCGTTTTACACTACAAAAATTCAACATGCAACGCACTTCTAACGACAGGTCTGGACCGCAAACCCAGCTGGTACTGGGTACAACGTCACCATCATCGTCATTATCGCTGTTTAACAGTAGGTACTCAAAGTCGTTTGTTTGGCCCGCCGACAAGCCTACTCCAGTCTTGGCGCTCATCAAGGACAGACTGAGTATACGGAAACAGAGAGCACTGAGAAAGATGGGGTTGCACAAAGGTTCAGATCTACGGACGGTGTTCCAGGCCAGAGAAGCAACTAGCGAGGATCAAGGTAAGTTTGTTATCTCAGCTCCCTTCATTGCACTCCAGCAGCATCCATTGTCAAATACCAATGGTTCTGCATATGAGAACCAGCAGCCATCTTCTCGATAGCCAGTCTAGCACAGTAGACTCGGTCAGCGGCATGAGTCTTTGGGGTCTCACCCCGCTCACACTAACACCGGAACTCGCTATAACGGCAATGACAGTACATCTTGGGAGCTGTGTTATTGTGGCACACAGACGGAACCTCCAGAAAGCGACGAAATATTGAGAGGTCAACCAAAGATCGACAGCACAAGGGGCACACCAGACAGTTTCCGAGATGGCATGCGCCCAGTCCCTGGTGTTCGGGATGAGAGGGTCCAGCAGCTCTGCGAAAACCCATATCTGTGCAGAGAGGAGAGAGAGGAGCTGGAGAAAGCCATCATGAATCTGAAACTTCGTATCGAGCAGGCAAAAATCGCTGCAAACATGTACTTCCGCCAAGCTCATGGTTGGGAGGACCGGAGTCCTATTCCCAATGACCTTGATTCGTTACCCCAGATGCTTCAAGGGCTTTACACGGTCATGATTTGGATGCAGCAGCGCATTCAAGTATATGAGAGTATCTACCCTAAGCTCCGACCGGATTACGATGCTGGAAAGGGATTGATCGACTAGAAAGGACCATGAAAGGAGAGATGTGGAATGTTTCTTATGTCAAGAAGATGGCTGTGTGATTGTAAGTACTAAGGTAGTTTGTCTTCTTTCAGGAGTTTGTTTGGGTGAATAACAAGATTGATTTTTTGCAAGAAAATGTTTAGCTTAACCCAGTGATTGTAGTAAAATACCATGTGAGCTTCCCTTTTTGTGAGAGTGGACATTGATTATTCTTGTTCATGATCATGTTTGTATCATGTCTAGGTACTATCCAAGAATAGATCAGGCCTAGCACTCACGTGATGCTTCAAAGGGATCATGGACATGTACTAAGAAGGTATGTTTCTTAACTTTCAGTCCTTGTAGGGCCGCGTATGCACTTTGTTGACGCCACTTTGCAGGAGATGGAGTTGTTTGAGCAACAAAATTTAGTTAGACCAATTGGCCACTATTGTTTTTATTCTCATCCCCTGCATGCATCTTTCCGATTCCTGGTATTGTCTTATCAACTCCCTTATCATATGCATCAACTGTCCTACCGCGCCGCGCGCAATAATCATCTATTTGACATCCAATCCACTTCCTAGCTCGTGTTATCATTGAATCCTTGTTCGTATCCATTCTCGCTAACCTTCTTTTGGCCTCTTCAACCTTGTCATCAGTGACCTTGGAAACTACTTCTTTTACGACTTGTTTTCAGCTTCAAGCATTCAATTAATATTCACTCGCTTTCGCATCCGGATGATGCTCGACATTCGCTTCACCTGCTGAACATTACCGACAGTCCCTTCCTTCTCAAGGCTGGCCTCCAGTTAGTCGAATTCGATCCGCTTCTGCGAAACCGTCGTTATCATCGAGACTACAATATACAGTTCCAATCACCCGTTATCGCAACATTTTAACCTTAATCGCGATACGCTGCATCGAGATTTCCCACTTCAGCGAGAGATATCCTTGCATCGCACCTGATTCATTCCAACAATTCTGACTCCTGTTACGCTCGTCGCAATTCACCATTCCCTCCCGATTAATCGTCAGCCCTAATGGGTAAATCATGTCGGTATTCGTCTTCTGATCGCTATACTGTTGACTGATGGTGTATTCTGCATAGCGCAATACGGCGTTATCCTTGACGCCGGTTCTTCTGGAACCCGAGTCTACATCTACAAGTGGAAGAATCACGCCAAAGCCTCCAAAGATGCATCCGCCGCTGAGCTCAAGGCTCTCCCCAAGATCAAGCTCAAGGAAAACAAGAAGATCCATCCCGGAGTGTCGAGCTTTGCCGAAAACCCGTCGCAAATCGGACCCGACCATCTAAAACAACTGATCAAAATCGCCCTCGATGAAGTTCCTGATAGCAAAATATCCGAGACACCCGTATACCTTATGGCAACGGCTGGTATGCGCCTGCTACCAAAGCCCCAACAGACAGCGCTTCTTAAGTCGATGTGCTCTTACTTGCAGTCGAACACGAAATTCATCCTTCCTGATTGCGATGCTCATATTCAAGTTATTTCTGGAGAAACCGAGGGTCTGTACGGCTGGATTGCGGCAAATTACCTGCTCGGTGGGTTCGATCATCCTGAGGAGCACGACCATGGTAAAAACCACCACACATATGGCTTCTTGGACATGGGCGGCGCATCTGCGCAGATAGCCTTTGCCCCTAATGCAACCGAATCCGCAAAACATGCCGATGACCTGAAGTTGGTGCGCATGCGAACCCTCGATGGATCCCCCACCGAATACAAGGTCTTCACTGCAACCTGGCTCGGGTTTGGCGCCAACCAAGCTCGCAGTCGCTACGTTGAGCGTCTGCAGGAGCACTATAACACCGATGCTACCCATGAGCTTCCTGACCCTTGTATGCCGGCCGGCCTGCGAACTACCCCTGAAGGCGAACTTGTTGAAGGGGCCTCAGACAAGACGGTTCTGGTTGGCACAGGAAAATTTGACGAGTGCTTAACTGTGACATACCCTCTTTTGGGTAAAGATAAACCCTGCGAAGATCAACCATGTCTTGTCAACGGCCAGCATGTGCCTGGCATCGACTTCGATATCAACCACTTCGTCGGAGTGTCCGAATACTGGCATACAACACACGGTGTATTTGGGAAGAAGCAAAAGGCGTACGATTTGGCAACATATCAGAACAATGTCATGGAATACTGCAGTCGAGATTGGTCGGATATCAAGGGCGATTTGGACAAACGCAAAAAGTCGCCTGAGAAGAAGGCAGAGGAGGCGCGATTAGCCTGTTTCAAGGCGTCATGGCTCATCAACATGCTCTACGACGGTATTGGCATTCCTCGAGTTGGGCTTGAAGGCGGGGCAGCCAACGACACAGTTAAGGACGATGGAGAGAAGTCGTTCAACGACCCCTTCAAGCCTGTGGATACAATTGATGGTGTCGAATTGAGCTGGACCCTGGGTAAAATGGTCCTCTACGCCGCTGGACAAGTTCCTCCCACGAGCTCCGAGCTACCTGTTGGTTTTGGAAGTAATGTGGAAAAGGGCATCGCGGAAGACTTCCAGCACGCTGGTTCTTCGCCAATTGCCCCTCATACTGGAGATGATGACGATGATGACTTCGAAGATATCCTCAAGAAGCCTGGAAAGTCCACCGGCGGGGTTGTTGCCTTTATCATCATACTGCTACTCGCTGCTTATCTCCTCCGTAAGCCTGAGCGACGACGGAAGATATTTAGCATGGTGAAGCGACGCAAGCGCTCTGGAAAGCAAGGGCGCGGCTCCTCTCTGGTCAACAAGATCTTCGGCCGTCGCTCTGGGCCATCGTATGAGAGAGTGATGGAGGAGGGCGACTATTCCGATTTTGAGCTAGGTGATGTCGACTCAGATGACAACGACCCTTCGGACAGCAGCAGTAATGGGTCTAGAAAGGGGCGAACATCAGGTCTGGCAACGCCTAGTATCTTTGCAGGCCGAGCGGACGAACTCACTCGTCCACCTTCAGCAATGGATCGTGCTGGCCTTGTAGTGCGAACCGAGAGTCGAGAGCGCTTGTCGCCCTCCTTGTTGAGTGCCGGTCGAAAGAGTCGCAATGGTAGCCCAACGCGTGCCAAGAGCCCTTTCATGACGGCCTTGCAGGAAGATGAGTAGCTTTGCTGGAGATGGTTTAATGCAAAAGTTGTATACGGTGGGCTTTTTCTCATTATTATGGCGTTTGGGGACTTGGGGAAGCTGATGGAGCATCACTATTCTGGCGTTCAAAAGAACGCATATACCACGAATCATCTGATAGGCGTTGTGAAAGTTTCTGATATTGATATTACAAGACAGGCAAGGCGCTTTTTCGAATTTATATCACCATTTGTGCTCAGGGGTCCGCTAGAAATTGTTGATAATTGTTTGTGTAAATATGTACTGGTTGCCCTATAATCATTGTTGATTCTTCGCAGTTGCTCCAAACAAGACGCCCATATAAACTGTGGTTCCAAGATCTGATCTCCTATACCTGCCCTGGTGTACATTAAGCCATTTGCGCAGATCGCTCGAATACGCAATTTTGAATCATCGTAGTAGTCTCTTATCCGATAGCAGTCTGGGCTTAGACTATTCTGTTTGCTTCTCGAGAAAACTGGGATCTGTTCGAACTCTTGACTCGAACTTGCGCCACCAGTTCTCGAAGGCCTTGAGGGGTACGACTTCAACGCCGCCGGGTCCCGCGGTGCCGCTAAAGCTTGATAGAAAGTTGAAAGCGTTTTGAATGATACGTTGTGCCAAAATGGCAGTGCTCGGTTGGCCGCTTGATGAGTTGTTTGCTTTGCTGGCAGCAAGTTCCTGCATTCGCTGGCCGACGGATTCCTCTGACTCAACAGACACTCCAATCACCAGATCGCTTGCCTCGCCCCCACCGCTGACCTTGAACATGGCACTCTCTTTTCCCGGGCCAATGCCGCCGAGGAAGCGGAAATTAGGGGTGCCGCCTGTTTGAGCAGCAAGGGCGACATCGGCAGCTGTGGCGAGGTAGATTGCTGCAGCGGTGTTTGGTGGTAGTGTAATTCCAGGCAGCATGAAGACAACGATGTGAGAAAATGGTTTTGAGGTCGGAAGAGCATAGAGTAGTGAAGTTGGTGAGGGGGTTGATGAAGGTTCAGTGATTAATGACTGACCCGCAGGGACAATTCCGAATAGAGGACCTGACATGATGGATGTGGTTATTGTATATGTATTGGGAGTATTCAATTTTGGACGGGAAAGGTCTCTGCTTTGATACTATGAATTGTGGTTGTTGTAAGCTTTTGAACAATGGTTGATGTTGACTTTGTTAGCTTCGTCGTTTCTTTCATTGGTGGTGTGAAACGATTGGTGGGCGTTTCGAGGGTAATCTAGAAGGAAGTGGAAGGGGACCCCAACAACCCCAACCCACCATCACCCTGGTACATAAGTAGTTGTCAGTGACCTCATATCACAGATTTTTCCTGTAGTGTGTAGGGTAGGCTATGTGAGAGTGAAGGTTTACGCGTCCATCACCAGTAGAAACTTGGTGTCTCTATAAACACTACGATGTTGTGGAAGACTGAGTAGCGGCTGCAGCTGCGATTGTTTTCAAATACACATGTAATACTCGAAACAATGACTCGTCACTTTCTTTGTTGCAACAGATGCTGGGGACGCACTTACTTAGCTTAGGTTCACCGAAAACGTGGGGCGATGACAACGACCTAACTCGAGGTGAATGTTAACGGTGGAAATGTCACTCTTGACAAGGATTCATCAACAATACAAAGGCAAACAATTTCAACCCATACCAGCAGCTACCGGGCCCAAGAGGGGATACGGTGTGAAAAGAACTGGTACGTTTTCTGCTGGTCAACTTGGACTACAGAGGAGGATCAATACGACAAAAACCCGCAGATTGATCAACCCTACCTCACCATTGACCATTCATTCTATTATACACCCCAGAAACTGCACGCAGAAGGCTCTGTATCATCGACAAGAAACCCTACCAGAGACACTGAACCATAACCTGTCAATCAAAATGGCTAAAACAAGCATCAATCTTATCGACGAAGTCGATATGTAAGAATCCAAACCCATGTGCTTAGGACAAACGTAACTCATATGTCAAGGTTCCCCTATGCTGAGACAGACCCTGATGCTTTCACAAAGATGAAAGAAGGTCTGTACACTCTGGTGTGGGAGGACAGTCAAGGCACATACCCCATCGGCTACATCCTGGATCGCGTTGTCAAAGAGCTTCACCAAACGCCTGAGGATATCAGGGGTAAAATGACATGCGACGAAGCAGAAAAAACCATTATGTTATTCCAGGAGCCTACAGAAGAGGAGCGTACTCGCCGTGTCACTGCCCTCGCTGATTATTGGCGCCAAAATGGAACGTTCCCCCTTCTCCGTGGCTGGCGAAATGAGCTCTGGCCAGTCTATGGACGCACCGGGGAGCTCTTATTCAGCATGGAGCGAGCAGCGATGGGCTTGATCGGTACGATGCGCTACGGTGTTCACATGGTCGCCTATGTCAAAGATGAGACTGCACCTTACGGCATTCGTATTTGGGTACCCACGCGCGCTCAAAACAAGTCTACGTTCCCCGGCATGCTAGACAATACCGTAGCGGGCGGTTTAATGACCGGAGAAGACCCCTTCGAGTGCGTGATCCGAGAGGCCGATGAGGAGGCCAGTCTTCCTGACAGCATTGTCCGCCAGAATGCCAAGTTTGTCGGCAACGTCACATACATCTTTATCACAAACGAGGGACAGGTTGGCGAAGGTGACTTTATTTACCCTGAATGCCAATGGGTCTATCACCTTGAGCTCTCTAATGATGTGATTCCCCAACCAAGCGATGGCGAAGCTGAAAGATTCGACCTGTGCGACGTCGATCAGGTCAAGGCGGATCTTGCTGCAGGACGCTTTAAACCTAACTGCGCCCTCGTCACGCTTGATTTCTTCATTCGCCACGGTATTCTGACTGACGAAAACGAGCCCGAGATCGAACAGATCAAACGGAGGATCCGCCGCAATATTCCATTCCCAGGTCCGCATCAGAGCAATTGGCGCCCACTATAAGTCTGAAATCGGTAAAACTGAAGCACTTTGAAACTTGTTGGGGGCAAGGCGGCGGGTTTTGGTTCGGGTATCATTGATATGACCTAAAGCCTAAAGCTAGCGAGGAAGCAAAAGCCTGCGGTGGCGTTGAAGAGCTATAGTCTAGATAAATGTATCATTTGCGCTTCGGATTATTTCTTGACAAGAAGGTAGACGTCGTCGACGCGGAGCGGAGTCAACTTCTTGACAGGGCCCTGGAGCGACATGAGCAGACCACCGAACGAGACGTAAGCGTTGCTGTAGGTTAAAACCAATCAGTATCTTCAACCCGTAGAACAATGAGGGCATCTTGGGTTTGGGGTCGTGAACGTACATGGTGTTTCCATCGAATGTCTCTTCGAACTTGTAGATCTTGCCATGGCACACATAGTCGTAGAGGTCGGCAATCGTGGCTGGCGCATCACCGCCCTTACCAACGTCCCGCCAGCCCTTCTCTTCCTCCTTGCTTCCATCCAGAGCCAGTGTTGTTGTCAAAACAACGTGCAAAGAGTCACCGGGGACACATGGGAACAGCTCAATGTTGATGTCAAGCGACATGACGGTCTGCGAGTCGGCCGATGTGCAAGAGATACGTGCGACACGATCATACTTGGACTGATCGTACTCCATTACGGTAAAGGACTCCTCAAAGAGGGTGGCATCTCCGCTAGCCATTTTGAAAGAGTTATGAGATAATTGTAATATGTGAAGTCGATTATGGTGTTATATCGGGGGGGATAGAGCGAGCGTGTGTAGGTAGCTACTGTTAGATGCTGTTGATTGTCGCGAGCAAGAGAAAATGTTTGGATGCAGCCGGGAAAAAGTTGGTGGGGTCGAATGGAACTTGAGGACCTGTTGGTGGGTCCCACACACAAGACTCACAGGCATCTCTTCCCAACTAACTACCTAATGACTGCAAGCTTAAAGTTCTCATTTTCTCTTTTGTTATCGTACGACTCAAACCTTGATATATATGAGAGAAAGGAATCATGTCATTTCGAAAGCGTAATGTCGTCATTGGAACTCCGGGATCCTCTTCGTTTACTCCTCGGCAAGAGAAGTCTCTTGCGCCAGGAACGAGACCGTCACCATTAGATGGGCGATTAACGACATCTACGGGTACGCAATCCTTGGATCAACTCTTGTCAGGCCATGCTGGAATGCCCATGGGAACTTCCTTACTCATCGAAGAAACTGGAACAACGGATTTCGGAGGCGTGCTTCTACGGTACTATGCTGCTGAAGGACTTGTGCAAGGACATCAAGTCCATCTACTGGGCTTTGGTGATGCTTGGAGAAGAGAACTTCCTGGTCTTGGCAACCCGGAAGGCTCCAAGAAGAGCAAGTCTAGTTCATCCTCAGACGATAAGATGAAGATTGCTTGGCGTTACGAGACACTCGGACGACAAAATGTTCTAGCTAGAGGTATTGTCCCCATGTCTCTATCCGAATCTTCTGAGAAACAGCAACTAATGGGCCGATTTAGATGCTCAAGGACCAGCAAGTCCCGGCCAGACACAAAGCACTTTTTGCCATACCTTTGACCTTACCAAGCGTCTTGAAAACAGCGCTATCAAAGGCCAGCTACATGCAATGCCCGTTGAAGGTCCCTTGGCTTCTCCTACTCATACACCATTCCAAAAATTTGTCACCGAAGTGACCTCCAAGATTAAGAACTCACCTCCTTCCACTGTTCATCGGATTGTTGTGCCCAGTCTTCTGTCGCCTACGCTTTATAATTCTGCCGCCAGCCAGCCTAAAGAGATCCTAAAGTTCCTTCATGGCTTGAGGGCACTCCTGCGACAGTTCCCAACTCAAGTTACAGCTGTTGTAACGATTCCTATTACACTGTTCCCACGTTCGACAGGATTGACTCGCTGGATGGAGCTGCTATCTGACGGAGTCCTTGAATTGATACCGTTACAGCAAGCTCCAGTTGTTCGAGAGCCTGGCAACGAGGACAAAGGGCAGGGACTCCTCCGTGCCCACAGCCTACCGGTATTTCATGAGAAGGGCGGTGGACTGGAAGGCACCTGGAATCGAGAGAACTTGTCTTTCAAGTTGAGCAGTTCTAGCGGGCTGGTTATCACACCCTTCAGTCTTCCACCAATTGGCGACGAGGAAGAGCCGACCAAGGCAGCCAAACCAAACGAGCCTAAGAAGGAGAGTCTTGATTTCTAAGACAATAATGAAACAATTATCTTTTTGTCGCTTGCATCGAGTCTATCTTTTTTCGGAGAGTGGGTTTGTGTTACTTCATTCCTGAGGTTAACTTCAACTCCACGAAAGCTTGAGGACCCTCTCCTCCCTTATCTTATCATCACAAGGTGACCCCACCTGACTAAAAATTTCAACACTCATAAGAGCTCCCAGCTTCCAACCTTCCTTCTCTTTTTTCTTTTGATCAACATCAAACATTGAAAAGGTAAGCAAAGAATGCTCTTCTATCACATCTTCCCCAAACCGGATACTATGATTATAAACATATTAATCTGTCAATCCCCTGATTTTCTGTGACGACACATAATAAAATTACGAAGACGACTTATGATGTTCCTCTCACTACTTCATTTCAATTTGCAAACTCAAGTTGGAGCTTCCGCTAACTCGCGTTGCTTGATAGATACAATGGCTTCTTCAGAGTCTCCTTCCGTTCGGATTTCTAAGATCGCTGGGCGATATCTTGTTTTCGACTCGGAAGCTGCTGGTTTCTTGCGGCGGAGCGAGAACATCAATGGCACTCTCACTGGAACGGCGCCTCAGCAGCCAACTCAAAATATCTTCCTTGGGCTACCCATCGAACTCCGCCCGGAGGAGGCTGAAGCGCTGTTGCGAAAGAAGGTGGCTTATTTAGTAGACGACGTAGCTGCACACCAGGCTGTGCTGCAGAATCCCAACACCGAGGCAAGGAGGCTGTATCTCGATTCGTTTAAAACACGAAAGCAGACAGCCCAGCATGTTTTTGCTGAGAAGGATGCCAAAAGAGCTGCCGAAGTGGCAGAAAAGCACGGCAAGACTAGCCGCCAAGCACCTCCCAGCAATACTGACGAGGATGCAATCTTTGCAAGTGACAAGCCTGAACCAACTTCACGTCAACAGGAATCTGCTATCAGATCTCTGAGTGTTACCCCTGCGTCTAGTGGGCCTTTAATCTCACCCGAGGCCGAATGGGTACACCAGGCTGCTAACCCTACACAAGGCCCTTTGTGTGGCTTTCTCCTAACGTCTGGCTATTATATGACTCCTGGTCTGCGTTTCGGTGCCAAGTACAGCGTCTACCCTGGTGACCCTCTCCGATTTCACGCTCATTTTATGGCAAATCAATATGATTGGGATGAAGAGATCCCTATCTTGGACATCGTAGCAGGGGGGCGTCTTGCTACCGCCGTGAAGAAAGCGTACCTTATCGGAGGGCAGCAGCCACAGACAGACGAGTCGGTTGACGATGGAAGGATGAGAACCTTCAGTATTGAATGGGCTGCTATGTAAATGCTTCAATAAATATCAAGACTACGTACGTATCCTAGGCAAATGACTGATTCCATCCGTGCAACTTGAGCCTTGCATGATTGTGATACAAATGTGCTTCCAACTCCAAAAGAAAAAACGATATGCGTTAGGTTCAACTGATGCTCCCTGACTTCTCCACAAGGCATCTGTTCTCTGTTAAGCCTGAGTCCGATGTCATTTGCGAGTTCCAGGCTAAGGGACAAACACACGACTGAAACTGACGACCTCTCGGCGACAGCAGACGCACTTGTCAAAGTTATTCATAGCAAGAGACACGCGGCAATCGTCGCACAGACTCAAACAGCGACAAGGCCAAACAATAATGGTTCTGGGTGAGCTTTGGCATACAACGCATTGTGGTCCTTCGCTACCGAGCCCCGATCCCCCATCCTCCCATGGCGTTTCCGCAAGCCTTGTTGTAGAGGCCTGTCGTCGGGAGAGTAGCAGTTGTTCCAAAAGACGCTCCTCTTCATCCAGATCCAATTTGTTATTGCGGCCCGGCTGGATAGTGTCGATTTTTGGCTGTAACAGACTAGACCCTGGTGCTGCGAGAACCCGAGTGCGCTGCAGTTGCTCCATTCGCCTGTATTTGGCGCGTGTCATGATGCCATCGCTTTGTAGATGAGCAGACAATGTCAAAGCCTCCTCACGCTCTTCAGGATTTGTGGGGTGAAGAAGACGTGCTAGGTCGGCTATCTGCATGGGAGTGTCATGGAAAGGTGTACTCTCGCGGGTCATTTGAGGGGACCGCTGGGTAGGTGTTCGTTGACCATCGTCGTTCTCCTCGTCTGATTCCCAAGCTTGGTAGTCATCAAATGCTCCACCAGCAGTCGACAGAGAGATCACACTTGTGGTATCAAAGTCATCGTCTGAGTTTGGTTCGAAATCGCCGCTGGTATCACCAGATCCCCACCACCCATTCTTGACCCAATACTTGTACAGCGCTTCATCAAAAGAGTCCTCGTCTTCGACGCTGCGTGTACGTCTGAATTCCGCTTCTATATCGGACGAAGTCTCCTTCGGTATAGCTCCATCACCGTAAAAAGATGGTCCACTCGGTGGCGCTTGTATCGGAACGGAGCTTTTGCTTTTTCGTTTGTCTTTGCTTTCCATACGTTTTGGGTGCTGTGCGAGCGAAAGGAGCCAAGTGGGCTGGTATCGAATTCTAATGACCGCGAGACACCACAGTAGACACTTGGCGCTGATCCTTGCAACAAGTTTGTTGATGCTCAGTAGAAAGTCAAGGGCCATGAGCCAACGGGAACTCCTTTCAGATGCCCCGATGCCCGCACGAATATTGCGCTCGCCGCGTCCTTTTGGAATCTTCTGAGCAGCACGTTCGCGAGCATATCCATTGGAAGCAATCGTTGGCCCTCCTTTTATAGGAATGAGACCAATAGCGCCGGCCTGATCATATCGCGAGTCAGGCAAGCCACCAACAATCAGTTTTCTTTGCAGTTCTTCAGCCTCCTTGAAGCGCTGCTCTTCCAACCATGTACGTCGTTTCAGACTGACGCCTTTATCCTCGTTGAGGTAAACAGCTTCGCTAGCCATAGATATAGCGCTGAATCCGGTACGAAGTAAAGCTGTATAGAAATCCATTTCCCGAGTTATCCGAACGGAAGAGAGGGAAACGTTCGCTTGCATGTTTTCGTGGGCATGAACAAGACGCTGACGAAAAGACATCGAAGCCATGTCCGATGCCAAGGGCGGAGATAGGGCGGAGAGCAACAGAGCCAGTCCGTAGATGAGCAGGCACATGCCGATGCCGAGTAGAACCAGAACATGGGGTACGAATCCAATGATACAAACGGTCGGAAATCGGAGCAGACTCTGAGAAGATGGGTCATCAAGGTCAAAGGAGATACCTGCCCATACAATAGTGCCCATGAAGCAGATGCCCCAGAATCCCGTGCTGATCAAGCGATACTTGGCTTGTAAGCCGAAGACTCCGAGAACATGGCTCGTAATATGTGTCATCGAAGACAGGAAAGCGACAAGCAGCACCTCCGGTGATGTGTTGACCCTCTTCAGGACCATCGACCGGGTCAAAGCTATGGCATTTCCAAGTCCAGATGCTGGGACATCAGTGGAAGTGGTCTTGGTGAACAAGTTCCAGCCAAGCTGGTTGCTAATAGCAGCATCTGCCTCAGCGAAAGCCAACGATTGTTCAAATAATGTCATGCCAGTTTCAGGGGCTACTGGGCGGCCCTGTACAGCACAAGAGACGGTCTCAAGAAATTGGCTGAGGCAGAAAGTTCCGAACAAAGGCCAAAGGAGAGACAACGACCCAGTCAAGTTACGGGCAGAGCCAGATTCATCCGATGGTATCATCTGGACAGCGATGCAAGACTCCTCATCAGAAGCTGAGAACAGTAGGGCCGATGACAATGAATTGAAAAAGGCATTCTTGTGCGAGAACATGAGGTCGGAGCTCTTGCTTGCGTTGCCCCATCGCAATTCGGAGAAGTCGGCAGAAGTCTGACATTGGATAGACTGAAGGATTTGGCGGGCCTGTACCACCAGTAAGATGATAGGAACAATGCGTAACAAGAATCTTGTAGGCCATCGAAGTCGTAGTCTTCGGCGAGTAGCAGCGAATATGTGCGTTCGGTTGAGAATGACGGCCATAGCAATGCAACACAATGCCCACTTGCTTGTAGCATAGCCAAAGATGCTACCCAAGCTACGGGCACTGTCGACCGACACACGTCCCATCGGCATAGTGGCGGCTGTATCAGTACCGGGTGTCTCGAATGTACCCAGCCCAGGTTCCATGATGTTTTGAATCGTTGGACCAGCCTCGGCAAGTATAGCACTCGCACCAGCTGCCGCCGGTAGATAATCCGAATTATTGGAAGTCGTATCGAGGAAGTCGGAGATGGATGCAAAAGATCCAAGTTTCTTGACAAGTCGTGGACCAGCCCGCACAAGGTCCTCTAATTTAGGTGCATAGCGTGTCACATTAAAACTCCAGGCCGTAGGGTTGTACCACGAAACGTGCGCGCTGGCGGTATTCAGGCCGGTATCTGTTGTGAAGCTGGTGAGGGGTGTTGGTGCCGATGGCATGAAGTCTCCGGACATGGCCTTCAGGAGGTTATCGGACGCGAAACTGTCGGGAGAGAAGGAATCGTCAAGGCAAAATAAAGGACGCAAATCGCATATGTAGTTTGTCGAGCGTTATTACGATGGAAAGTTCGGCTTCGTCGAGGACATTGTGAAGCGTCCTATCACCAATAGTGGTTTGTAGTTTGTGGTGTTGATGAAGCAAGGCACCTTGTTTGTATTGACCTCGAGGTTCGGTAACAGTGGAGGTGGAGCAGCCAACTTGGATGTACTTGTCAGACTAAAGGGTGTCAAAAATGTACAGCCTGATACTGGTGCTTACCAGCATTGGAAGGCTTAATTATTTTGTCCCTAATGCTTCTACTAGCCAACTTTTCCGACGCTCCAAGGTCAGTTCAAGCACAATTGCGGAATTCACGGGCATTAGCGCGTCTTGGAAGACCCGCCCGCCGTACCGTTCAAGACAGCCCCATCATATTGTCACATCCGTGGTAGCTCGGTCATACATATACTCCAACAGAACACGACCAACTTACAGTAAACCCTCATCCAAAACTGCTAAACCTCAGGGTACAAACAATGAAAGGTTTAGCATTTGCATCATGTAAAGACTGCGAGTGTTTAACTACGTAGGTAAAATTACAAGAGTAAAAGAAATGCAGGAGTGTTTAATTTGGTATAAGCACCTGCAAATCACACATTGGAAACTGTCTCTCATCAAACTACAATCATTCACTCTTTCAGTTTCCATGGACTAAGTAGCGATCCAAGATATCATCATAATTTTATATTCAGGGTTTGGCTTGAAGGACGATTCTAAGTTCTGCAACTGTCCCTATCAAGTCCCTTCACCCTCACGCCCTAGGGTATGTCTGCAGATAAGCTACATTTTTCCAACGTGAAGCAGCTGAAAGAGCGAATGTATGGGTGCCTATGAAGCGGCGCGGTTCCCAGTAATCGCAGGATAGATATTGCTCGAGTACAAGATGTAAACCGTTGACCAGGAGTGATTAAAATATGCCAACGTTGATATTATGTGAAAGCCGGGATTCTTTCAACGTTGTAGCTCAAGTTGTAAGCGCCTTGATAGAGCGCCGGGTAATTTTTAGATGTGTTTGTTATATTATAGACTGGCCCGTTCCTTCGCTCAGACCGCGAGAATGGATTCGTTGAGAGATGCAACTATAGCAAGGTTGGTACCCTTGCTTGCATGTACTGCTCGAGCAACAAGGCCTCGATGGAGGTTAGCGTCAGATGAAGGTAGGCTTCCCTTCAGCCAAAGGTTTGTGATTTCATCTCGCGCAGGAAGGTAAGCCACGCAGCAAGCAGCGAGAATCTGTGGGTGCTCCGAAGGAACTGGATCAAGTACCATGATGGGCTCACCATTGTCTTGTCCAGGCACGAGTGCTGCAACACCTCCACAGACTGTGTCGACACAGTCAATGCCTGCATCAGCAAGAGCAGCTGCCGCAACGGTAATACAACCACCCAGCACATTCATCATGTCCCATTCCTCACTTCCTTGTTCGACAGCTACCTGTCTGGCTTGGTCCCCTTCAATGATGGTGACGATTACATCCACACCACTCTTGGGCCATCGGTCTGCAATAATGGCACCGCGCAGAGCCGCCTCGAGATGTGAGCTCAAGTCACGCTCGCTGGAATCGCGGAGATAACCTCGCCTTTGACGTGTCGCGAAAGGTGCATACTTGACATGTGTAGAAAGGACCATGTGAGGTGAGAAGGGTGCTGATCGAGGCAGAGACCTGGGTCCATGAACGGTACATGTAAGTTTCATACCCTTGCTGCCGGAAGCATCTTGCGATTCAATTTCAAGATATGCTGAGCCAGAGGCAGATGGGGTAACTCCTGTCTTGAGATCTGATCAAATATTAGCCTTTTTATTCATGGTTGGCTTGGCCAGTGAATTTGACGGCGAATTGAGTCAACTTACATTGCGCTCTGATACCATTTGCTGCACGAGTACGCCCTGGGACGGTAGATTCATCGGCCTCGAAAACAGGAGGTACAGTATTGCCTCCTGGGCCATTAATACGTCGTCGGTCAGCCATTTTGAGAAGCAGCCCTTTCTATACCATCTTTCATTGACCTGGAGGGCATGGATTTTAACTGAAGTGGATAGGAATTTGCTAATGCATCAAACGGGGCGCTACTGTGATTAGTCATCCTTGAATCCATCGGCTCTACTTCAAATTTTCGTGAACCTGCATTCAAGCTCAGAAACTCTTTCCTCTTCATCACCCTCAAGGATTTGGCTTCATTCCTACGAACAGCTTCCAGCAAGCAAAATCGACTGCAATTTCATCGATTTCAAGTTCGCCCGTTGCTTCGTCTGGAATTGTCGACCGGTCCTTGGGTGATGCTGTTTCTATCAGGTACGTTTTTTCGCAGCAGCATTCTTTCCCTGCAATGATGATCCTTCACACCACTGTTCCCGCGACATCCTGAGCGATTGAACACATGCACTACCATCTGAGCCTCACCCATTCGTCCATCTTCTCAAACTCGCTCGCTATAGCGCATGTACTAGTGCTAACTTGTAAAAAGAAACGGAAATATTTGCTACTCAAAAAATATCGGAATTGCGCATATCCACACTAGGACCAGGTTAGTAAAATTTTTCTTCCACAATTCCCTTCCGATGTCGATGATGAGAAAACTTTTCAATCAGTTCTGCTACTGAACCAATGTGATGACTCCTTTATACCATACCAAGATCTCTGATATACATCTTTACCCTCCATTTTTATTACATTTCATGCTTGACCTGAACAAAGCTGACCATGAAACCAGAACAGACTGAACTTTGATTCCACTACAGCTCATTCCGAACGCAACCCACGTATCTTTGGTAAGTACATTGTGAAGCTGCAAGTTCAAAGGAGTTGCTTTGCATGATGAAACAAGTTATATCCATTCAACGACATCATCTTGGCCAAGTCACCCTCCCGCACCTTAGACTCCTTGTGGGTTGATGATGGGTTGTGGAGTTTCTCTTCGGAGTGTTATGAAGACTCCAGTGTCAGGGCTGCTGGTAGCTCGTTTTGGGTTATCAGTATCCAGGGCCGGTCGAGCTGACTGAGTAAAAACGGCTTGTCTGAACTATCGCATACTCCTTTGCATCGTGTATAATCTTCGTCCGTTTATAGCCTCGACTTTGAACAGTGGCTAACGGATAGATACAGATTTACGAGTGTAGATCTCGATCATTTGAAGATTGAAGTGAAGGTAAGATGTGGCATGAAATATTTAGTTATCCCATAGTGAAAAATACCATTTTTTGTTTTTTGCATGCACCTAAGTTTGAACACCTACGTCTTTGTGAGATGCGACATGCTTACTACATTACGTCCAAACACTTGACCCTATTAGAGATTAACGCATCGCCAACCAATGTTGTAAGTAGGAAGAATCCTGGACTCGCTGTGGCGCCACCAGTGATACAATGGAACTGGGTCCTATTGTTTTCCATCAAGAATTCAAGTGAGATAATCCAAACTTAGCACCACTTAGCCGTTCGGAGTAGGCGACAGATTCATAAGCTGAACTGGAAAAATTCGAGATTAATCCATGCTCGCTTGTTGCCGATACTCCTGGCAAGAGACAAGTTTTCTGATGTCAGGAGCTATTTGTTGTTCGTATTTAATCTGACGGCGGATGGTAGGTAGTGGTTCCTATTCTTAGACCCTTCAAAGTGTGGATCGTGTTGCTTCTCGAAAAGGCCAAGTCTGGAACGAGCCGACCGCAAGAGACCAATCAAAAGCGACCAGCCACCCCTTGCCTCGATGAGGGTAACTGAACACATGCATTTCAGCGCTCTGGCACATTAGATTTCGTATCCTCCAAGTCAACTTGGTCGGCGTTGGAGCCACCTTGCCCTTGAGCACCATAGAACTATCGCGGCGACCTCCACGAAGAAAATCAGAACCGAAAACGATTCAGACACTCCTTTACAAACCGACAGCATTCAATCACGTTCTTGACCGACAGGGGACACCTACCATCTAGCCCACCCTCGACACTGTATACCATCTCCTTTCGACATCGAATTGCGTCCCGCTCACTGGTTTTTGCGTCCGACTTCATCGTACAACGATTAACTTGCCTGGTATCTGGAATACAGGCTCGACTTCGAGCACAATATATAAACGAGCCGTGGAGCGACTCCACGCCGAAGCCGTCAATGCCCTCCTATGACTTGCCAGGTTCCAATTCGAAGATGATGCCCCGGCACCACGCTGCCGCCTTTTCGAATGGCTACCCACGCGGCAATACCTTCGATATCTCACCACACAAGTACGGCTTCCTCTAAACCAGAAATGTTTTTGAAAACCAATATGACTTGTGGCGCAAACATTCATGATCAACAATACTGACACAACCTCTTCGCTAGATTCCAGCCTCGCGCTTACACACCCGCTCAAAGACGTCGCAACAAGCTCCTAACTCGCCTGGGTATTTGCGCAGTGATCCTGTTTATTTTCAGCCTTTGGCTTTGGCCTTCCAGCTCGGTGGCTTCCCTGGTTTCATTTGGCCTCCTTTCTTCCAGTGGCACTCCCGAGCTCGAGACGGTTCGATATTACGACTTGACTAATGTTCAGGGTACCGCTCGTGGTTGGGAGCGCGAAGAGCGTATTCTCCTATGCGTGCCGCTCCGTGATGCTGAAGCGCACTTGGAGATGTTTTTTTCCCACATGCGCAACCTGACATACCCACACCACCTGATTGATCTCGCATTCCTCGTCTCCGACTCAAAGGACAACACTCTCAAGGTCCTCTCCGATAGTTTGGAGGCTATTCAAGCCGACGGGGACCCTAAGCAGCCTTATGGCGAGATCTCTATCATTGAGAAGGACTTTGGTCAGAAGGTCAACCAAGATGTCGAAAGCCGTCACGGATTCGCCGCCCAGGCTAGTCGCCGAAAGCTGATGGCACAGGCTCGAAACTGGCTTCTGAGTGCGGCCCTGCGACCCTATCATTCTTGGGTTTATTGGCGCGACGTCGACGTCGAGACTGCGCCTTTCACCATCTTAGAAGATCTCATGCGCCATAACAAGGACGTTATCGTTCCAAGTAAGTTTGGAATCAATGTGCTACAAGTTGTCTTCTAAATACTAACCGTGCACCAGATGTCTGGCGACCCTTGCCTGACTGGCTTGGTGGTGAACAACCCTATGACCTGAACTCCTGGCAAGAGTCCGAAACGGCTCTAGCTCTCGCCGACACTCTTGATGAAGATGCTGTCATCGTCGAGGGATATGCCGAATATGCCACATGGAGACCTCACTTGGCCTATCTTCGTGATCCTTTTGGCGACCCTGATATGGAAATGGAAATTGATGGTGTTGGTGGTGTTAGCATTTTGGCCAAGGCCAAGGTTTTCCGATCCGGAGTTCACTTCCCAGCTTTCAGCTTCGAAAAGCATGCCGAGACAGAAGGTTTCGGCAAGGTAAGCATCTTGTCCATGTGGTATGCTTATAGTTCACAGCTAATATGATTCAAATAGATGTCCAAGAGAATGGGGTACTCAGTTATTGGTCTACCTCATTATGTCATCTGGCATTTGTATGAGCCTAGTGTGGATGATATCCGTCATATGGAGGTTCGTGTCTTACAAATTCAAGATTAATTTCTACATACTGACTTCGGGTACAGGAAATGGAGAAAGAGCGACTTGCCCGCGAGAAACAAGAAGAGGAAAAGAAGAAGAACCAGCAAAAGATCAAAGAAGAGTACAGTGATACCAGAAACGAGTGGGAGAAGGACAAACAAGAGATGCAAAACTTGGTAGCTCAACCAAAGCCTGTCGTCAATAACGCACCTGTGGCCCAGCCTCCCAAAGAGCAGGCTGCGCAACAGGTCAACAATGTTCCTGGTAATGCAGCACAGGGCGAAAATAAGCCACAAGTGGCCAAGCAGGAGGTTAAGCAGGCCGAAGAAGTCGCAAAGGATGTGCCCAAGGCTGCCTAAAATGCTGATAATGCGGCTGCTTGAATTTTACTTGCTGTATAATAGAATGAATGCCACTGGAGTCTTTGGCCGCTGGAGCGGATGACTGTCAATAGCTACAGTTGAAGATGTAGCCAACAATAGCCCCCTTTTATTGGCATGTAGCTGGCGTTTGGTAGGTTGGGAAAGGGGCTGTTTTTTTTATCAACTCTAGAATGAGGAAATCTTTCTTCTATCACAGGCTTTGGTATTGGTGATCGCAGGGTCAGATCAACACATAGTAACAATGGGAACATGTATCTATCCCTGTGAGCATGTACATCTTCATTAGAATTTAAATAATCTCTATCAAGGCCAACAAAGTATATAATAAGTCTGGACAGGCGATGAAGTTAATATGTCAGTTCTAAAGGCCCTTGGACTTAAAAGATTAGCGATCTTGTGAGGCGCTCGCCTAGCTAACCGGGTGCACTGGTAAAAAGAACTCTGGTGCTGCGCTATAGCCTTAGCGAATAAAACCGTGAGTCCATTCCATTGAATCATGCTTTGTTGAGATCAAATCATCAAATATGGTTATCTTTTAAGGTGTGTTGTTCGTTCAGGGGGGCCGTTGAATGGATCATGACAGCCCCGCTGACCAATCAGTGCAGGTGCTGGACGACACCTGGAGGACAGCACGTAGCTTCGGGGGCGGGATAGATCTTTGGTCGGGAAGTGGTACCTTACCTAGCCGTACGCTACGTAGCGACTTTATCCATCATCCAACCTCACAACTTCTCGCAGACAAATTCCTAGCGATTGTTGGATTATTTCCCGGCCGAGACCTGGCCTTATCTTCCAACAAACTCATTTTTTTCTTTTTCCCCAGCAGGTCGCCAGCCATTGCTTTTGCACAAATATTTGGACCTCCCTATCCGCCCTCGAGTCTGAACGAGCCGAACGGTCGCAAAGCAACAACGATCTCGAACTTACGATACAATGAGTCGCGATGAACAACCACCATTGAATATGGAGAGTCCTAGACCGTCCGGGGTCTCGAGTTTCGAGAATCGTGCGCTCTCTGCGCGCATGCAATACCGAAGTCGACCTGTCACTGTCGCAGTTGACCCCTTGTCTTTGATTATATCGGAGTGCATCTCCATAACGTCTGCTATTCAGAAGCATGCGCGCTCACCCCATTCGTCCGTCTCAGCCATTCTCGGTGGAAGTCCCAACCCTCTTCAGTTAGGACCCCCAAGCCCTTCACCTCACGAGCGAAGTAAAAGCCCAGTGGGCAGCATCAGTGGTGACGGTTCTCATGATGGCCTTACCAATCGTTGGGGTTTACGTGGGCAAAGGGGGAAAAGTATGCAAGACAACCCCATGATTGCTGGCTTCGGCAAATTGAGGCATGAACTTGCCGGTGTGAAAGGTACGGTAGACCAATTCGTTCGGAGTCTTCTCCATACATCTATCATGGTAGCTGACTTTTTCGCTTCTAGATATCCGATCTTTCGATGCCCCCACGATCCTAGCCCCCTTCCTTCATGTCATCCAGACAAAGGGTACCGCTGCCCCGATTACAATTCTTGCTCTGGGCGCCTTGAGGAAGTTTTTGGCTTACGGTTTCATCTCTCCCGAGTCGCCGCGATTCGCATTAGCCATGCAGTCTCTCTCGGTTGCTGTCACACATTGTCAATTCGACATCAGTGACTCGGGCCAGGTCGAGGTTGTTCTTCTGATGATTCTCAACCTGATGGAAGACATGATGTCCGGGCCCGGAGGAGATATTCTGAGC